AGTCTCCGTCGGCTGGTCTGCTGGTCCAGTGGTCCGTAGCTCAGCGAGTCTTTCAAGTTCATAAATAAAAGATGGCAAATGACAAAAAAGGGAGAGCCAAAAAGGAAAAACAATGGACAAGCCGCCGAAACCGAATCCGAAACAAGAACCAGAACCAGAAACTCAAATATGCAGACGTGACTTATTTAGTACAAATTGTTTGATTTACGTTTTATAATAAAAACGATAATACGCCAATAAGAATAAATCTGCAATGTCAATAAACTTCAAATCGACCATGAAATGCGCTACTCAGAAACAACTAATAATGTAATCTTGTGATCACACAACTAATATAAGTTTTAACAGATACTGATAGAGATATAATTACATATATATTTATACAGTGAACGACTTTAGAACAGACAATATATCTTAGATAATTCTCTTACTATTACAGGGTTTTGTTGTAAAGTAACTTACATATTTAAATATACTTACAGATATAAAAATTATTTAAATGGCAGAAGTTGTTGCTAAGGTGATAATTTATTAGCCCAATAATTGTTAATATTTACTTAAGCTTAAGATTAGACAAAATAAAATAAGTTCAAGTACATCAATGATAAAGTTCCTGTTAGTAATACAAATAATCATTTTTTGTTCCTAAAACAACATTTGAGAATCATGATCTTAAACAACTTACATAAATGATACAGAAATTTAGATAAAACCAAAGCACTTTCACTGAGATAAATCTTCTTTTTAATCATAAAATAAAACAATTTTATATGCAATACATTATAAAAATTTATTGAATTTTCAATCATAAATCAATTTACAATTAACGCATTTTTCATAGTTCATTGTCATATTTAGAATTCGAGTTTTTAAGTATTTCCTTTGCATTTTCTTGCTGTGTATGTCAGGCGCTTAGCTGGTCATTTGACACCTCTAACTTATGTATGTATGACTGGGGCTAACCAAACCAAACCAACCCATACCATGACACAACACATAACATGCTATTCGAGCATCTCATCCTTATCCTATTCATATCGCTGGCTGACCAATGAAGCGTGGCTGCTTGGGTAAGCCCAGGAAAGAGCATAAAGCATAAGTAGAAATACATATATAGTCATATATATATGTATATATATATGTATAAGTGAGTGGTGGTGCCAAGGATGCTAGGCTGTCTGGTTTGGTTTGGTTTCTCGTTTGCGGTGTTTTCCCTGCTGGTGGTTGCTTCGTCTAGGAGCAAGATTTGGGGTCATTGGCATATCCTGCCAGCGATCGACGGCAGCGAAGCAAATCAATATATATATATAGTATCGATAGCATCGCCGAGAGGGTGCCAAGCGTATATCTTGGGTTATTTAATTTATGTTTTTGTGTCTTTCGTTGTTTCTACTCTAATCGCAGCTTATGAAAAAAACGAAGAAGAAAAACACAAGGGAGCAATGAGGTAAAGCGCGTTGGGTTCGCCTCGCCGGCGTTTCGGTTAATTTCTGAATATATAATTTGGCCGCTGACTGTGTGACACACTTAACGATGCCGATGCCGATTTCGAGATGGGAAAATGGAAGATGGAGGCTTCGAGTTTCTACTGATTCTTCTTTAGATCGCTTGCTGGGCATAATTAAAATTTATGGCAAATGCGCTTCGAGTCAGTTCATTAGCCGCCTTCTAGTCGCGGCTTAATTAAATAGTTTCATAAATTTTCAACTATCGCATCGTATTCACCTGTTGTTCTATCTACAATTCCTGCATACGTATTTTATGATGGGGACCCACCATAAAGCCCATTAAACGCCTGAAAAAGGCCGGGCAAAAATGTTAGATAGAGAACCCCACAAACCATTCGTATCTGGGCATCAGCTTTTGTTTTTTTCAGACTGTTTTCTTTTCAAATTTTAATTTCCATGACTTTAAGGTACCATTAACGTTTTTTTGTTTTTGTAAAGTGCTCCGCTCCGAGCTGAGTACAGTCAAAAGTCCATAGCTATAAATCAAATCCGTATCCTGTTCAGACTGGGCAGTTATTTGAAAGCCCTCAAACAAAGAGATTTAGTATGTATTGGGTTTTAATGAGCGGCACAGCAACAACAATGATTGGGATATATCCAGAGAAACTGGAAACCCGCACAAACTTGTACACACATGTACATATAGATACCCTAGTCAAGTGGCTGCTAAAAATGCCCGGGCATGGACATGTGCTCACAGTTTCCCCCTCCTCCACACGTGATTAGCATGCAAGAGGCAACAAAAGAGACGGCGACTGAGGCGGGGAACAGTTGACAGTTGTCAAATCTACTTACGCTCTTCATGGTAAACAGTTTTTGACGAGCCTGCTGAAGGATTTATTTAAGTGCAGACAGACAAACTAACAGACTAATAAGTGCGGCTGGTTATGTATATGAGAAAAACCGAGGTGCCAGATACATAAGTACATTCATTCGAAGCATACTCGCAGCTGTGGCATGAAGTAAGCAACGGTTTGGGGGAGAGGCAGCTGCTACCTGTTGCTACCTGAAGTTTATTTGATTGTTTTAACGGGTATTGTTAAAAAAGCCCTGAAAGGTTTAAAGACCTTAAGTGTTGCTCAATGAACGCTTGGTTCGACTAATTCAAAGCCATAGCAAACTTATAAAAAATAAAATGATAAAACAGCTAAGAAACAGCTGTGCAACCTTACTAAATTCATTTCACTTCGCAGCCAAAACACAATATAGAAATGCGTCAATTCGATTTATACAAAATTTAATATACTTTTTCAAAAACTAAGAAAAGTAGAATAACCAAAAGTTGCAGACATCTTTTTGAAATGGAACTTTGTGTTAGTTCAATCGAATTGACAGAGAAATTCTTTTATCATAATAAAGAAATTAATATGCAAAACATGCAATACTTCTTCGACTTCTCGCTAAACGTATTAAATACATTCATCTTAAAAATAAATTTGTAACTGTCGGGTAAACTAGCCATAAAAAACCGTTGGAGCAATTCGACCAGATGCCAACTGTTTCAATAAACAAAAGCAAATGAAAGGTTTTTTGTTTCTTTTTATGTTCGAAGCACTAAATGTTCAGCTGTTTTTGCTGGACCCTGACTTCAGATCTGCTGAATTTCAAGGGAGTTGATCGACTATTTGTTCTACAGCATGTTGACACAACAGCCAGAACAGCTTGATATACGTTTTATTTACAATGTATAACATTCTAAAATTGCGTTGTTTGCGCGAGACGTTTAAGTTAAACAAAAGGGCAATAAGAATAATTTGTTGTATCAAGGAATTGAATAAAGGAAATTTCAAGATATTTGTCTTTAAGCTTAAGAAAGAAAAAAAAAAAGAACACAGCCAAACACACTAAAATACCGATTCAGTTAAATATACCCATTATGCTCGCCTGGTACAGGTATAAAAAGAAAATACAATAAAATAAAAATCTGTGAAATTATTTCACACTACGAGTGGAAATCCGTCAGCCTTGTTGGCATTTTGACTTTGACAATTGATGGCCCGCACATTTGTCTTTCACTTGTTGCGCTTTTTGCTTTGAGCCAACGGCAACTTCTCTGTATGGCCAACTTCCCGTTTCAATCGACAATTCGTCTTTGCCTTTGCGTTTTGCCGTTTGCATTTGATTTTGGCTTTGGTTTTGCTTTTTGCTTTTTGCTTTTACGCTTCTGCACTTGGCCACAATTATTGTCTGGCTTTGACGGCCTTTTGAAGTGCGCTCGTTTTGACAAATGTGTGTCATTGCTGGGGGACCATCAAAGAGGCAGGCGATCGTCTCGATCGTCTCGATCGCTCGATCGTTGGATTTTGTTTGGTTTGGTTGGTGTATTTTCGACTATTGATGGGCGACATAAACGGTAAAACGTGGTTAAGTGAACGGCATGTGGGATACGATGAGATGCACGATCTATTCAATGTGTACAAAAGGTGAATCGGCAAACAATTAAATCACTTACCTGTTTAAGATCTATCGAAACTAGTTTAAATGAGTCTACAAAGCCGTGAGAGACAAATATTACGGTTTACTTCTACTGAAAACTGAAAACTGACTGGTGACTGGTGGCTGACAAAGACAAATATACCCAAAATAGAGCTAAACAAACAAATGATTATTATATTCGGGTTCACAAAAGTGTGATGGACTGAATGTTTGACTGCTGATTAATCAATAGTCCAAACAGTTCTATTTTTTATTTAAAATGATTTCTGAAAATCCAACACCGAACGGTGAAAAAAATACTTTTATTTAGGCCAAATCGATTTATACCAATTGATATTAACCTAACCAAGAACAAGAAATATTAATGCACCCAAAAGTATACTCTACTAAAATGGCTTAATAAATAGTTATTAATATTTTCTACCGTTCTTTTTTCACCATATCATAATTATATACGGCTTTGTCTACAATCTTATCAAATGTATTGATATATCTTTAAAAACTAAGAAAAACACTACACTCTTCGATCAGGCATTAATTATCGGCCAGATTAGTGAGTTCAAGTAAGTAAGTTTCAATTGTTATGAATTTAATCATTCAAATATTACTCAGTTCCTAAAAGACCCCCACTGTAGTTATAAAAACATATTTCTTAGTAATAGAATTCCAGAATTCAGGCTAATTTATGTCTTATGGCAATTATTGAAAAGATATTTTGGATATTGGAGAGCGGTATAATAACTTCTTTACGGAAAACATCTAAATAATTATTTATTTGCTTGCAGCAATCTTAATGCAGAATACTTGGGTGGCATATTTATATATATATATATAAATTGTTTTGCCTACAGTCTTATCAAATTAGCTTATTTACCTTTAAAAACTATAACATTTTGAAGTTCTCCTCTTTAGATCAATTATCGACCTGATAAGTTAGTTCAAGTGCCAGTTTAATTTTCGGCGAATTGAATTGCAATCTAATCAATCACTGAAGAGTGACTCATTTCACATAATTTCCCTATATAATGGTCAAGTTGTATACAATCTGGCATAGTCAACGCTGTGTTATTGTGCGAGGTTGTTAACATGAGAGCCGTATTCCATATCCTGTCCGTGCTGTGCCTGGTGGTGGCTGCTGTCCACTCGTTCGAGGATATTGCACCCTTCAAAAGCTATCCGGCCAATTGCAAGGATGCCAAGGCCAAGAAAAATGGCATCTATAAGATACAAATAAAAGGCAGTGAGCCCTTCAACGTTTATTGTGATGCCAAACTGAACGGCACCGGCTGGTTGGTAATCCAGCGACGTGTTGATGCCAACATTAACTTCTTCCGCAATTGGTCCGCCTATCAGCAAGGCTTTGGAGATCTGGAGGGAAGTTTCTTCATTGGCCTGAATAAGTTGAATGCCCTGACTGCAGCAACGGCCAATGAATTGTATGTTTATCTCGAGGACTTCCATGGTCAAAGTCGTTTTGCCAGATACGACACGTTTGCCGTTGGCAACGAAGCCAATCGCTATGGCCTAAATACACTTGGATGGTATTCCGGCAATGCTGGCGATTCGCTCAGATATCAGCAATACATGAAGTTCAGCACCTACGACATGGACAATGACAATAGCACTATCAACTGTGCCGCACAGTACTCCGGTGCCTGGTGGTACAACAGTTGCATGTATAGGTAAGCAAATATTGCCATAAAGTTGAGAATATTTCACAAACAACGAAATTGATCACAACTTAAAAAATATTGTCTAGCATATGAGGGTTTTCTTAAGATAAGAAAATATTAACTGTGCGTTAATTTCTTTATTTATAAAAACCTATTTCTTAGTAATAGAATTCTTCTTATAGTAATTATTGAAAATTAAAGGCTTTTTGGTTTTTGGAGAATAGTAAAAGAACTACTTATGGAAAGTATCTAATATCTAAATACTTATTTATTTGCTCACAGCAATCTGAATGGACAATACTTGGGAGGCGAGTATGGACAAGCTCTTGCGGGCCGTGGCAACAGCTGGGCAACTTGGCTAGGAATCAATTATGCGTACAAGACCGTGCAAATGATGATCCGACCATTGAAATAGATATATTTTTATATATATATATTCCACTTCTCAACTCTTACTTTTAAGATTACAATAGATCTGCTTCTGTACGCACAAACACGTCTTTTACTCTGTTCAGTATTTGTTTCGATTTTGATGTAGGATCGTTTAGCATGTTGACAGCTGCTCCAGGTCCAAATGATCCACGTCTCCAAAACACATCACGAACCGTAAATTCCGCATAACTTTGTCAAACAGGCCCGACAGATTGTCGAGGTGGTTTCCAAAATAGAAACGCTTAATTGCAAGTATTACGTTGAAAATGATACCAATAAACAAGAAAGCAGCACACAACGACAACGTTTTTTGGAGGCGAAATTAGAACAAAATGCGATGTCTTCACGCACTAAATGTATTATGTATGTGTGCGTGTGTGTATATAGATACATATGTACTATATATAAATATACAAACATACATACTTATGCTTAACAATTCTTAGTGTGGCGACAGCAAGGAACAAAAAAAAAAAAAATGCCATGAACAATTTTCGGTTGGAACATCTTAAAAGAATTTTGTCCAAAAACTTACACGGCCGCAGACCATCGCGGCGACAAAGACATTTTCATTAGCTATGTACTCCCAAAAACAGAAAGGGTATTTTAACTTGTGCAAGCTGTTTGCAGACAAAGCTTAGATGTTGAGAATATTCGGTATGGAATCGGGTTGATACAGAGCCTAAAAGAGTATATATTATTCGATTTGCAGAAAAAAACTTCAATATTTAGCTGTCGTTTTAATTTCACAAGGAAGTGTGGAAATATTCAAGAATACGCTTCACGGAAAGAACGCGCATCATTTCGGAACCCATCAACGGCGACACGGCGGCAGAAAACCTCGGCACAATTTTCATTTCAGTCAGAAATTAAGAGATGTTGTCCAATTTTATGCCTCCCCCGAGCGGAGTCGTAGCTGGGGGATCTGCAGATTTTCAGATATTCTGGGCTGGGGTCTCTGTCTGTTTGGGTGTGTGTAGGTGTAGGTGCAGCTGTGCGTAGGTGTGTGTGTGTGGCGCTGTCAAATGCTGTTGAAAGATTTTCGTGTCGTTGTTTCCATGCCGCCTGCCAGCAGGCGACAGACATGAAATTCTTGAAAAACATTTTTAAAACTTTTTTAAAATTCTTCTTTACTTTTGTCTCTGGTTGTTTCCTTCGTACGTAAAAAGATTTAGCAATAGCAATGAATTTAGTTAATTTATGGCGTTATTAATGACATTTTGAAATATTAACAGAAAATACAAAAACAAAAAATAAAATAAGAAAGAGCTCAGCAATGTTTGGGCTGACAAAATAAACAGCGACATTTTCTATTACATTTTTTTTTTATTTCATATATATGTATATCTGAAAAAGAAATATGTATATAAAGACTATTTTCAAATGCGTTGTTTTTCATGAAAAATCATGTGAGTGTTATGTTAAAAATGTTTGATTTCCGTTTCGATATTTTATTTTTTTTTTACTTTGCGTTTTTATACATTTGAACAAAAGAAATTTTACTGGGTCAGTCAGTTATCCATATATTACGCTCTGAATACCTTGGCCAAAGTAATAAATATGCTGAATAGTTTGACATATCTGAATGGCACGAGCTAATCAGCCTGCATAATATGCAAATATCCAAACAAAAGAAACCCAAACTTCCAATCGGAATACAACAAAAATCAAGCTCACAAATTTACGATTCAATCAATGGAATCTTTCAGGGTCTTGTTGTCTAAGAGCCATTAAATGTTAAAGCGCCTCTAGAGTTTCTTTTTTCTACATATATATGTATATATATAAATATATATTTTCTTTTTTATTTTTACCGCTCAAGTTTCAGTCACTAAGCGACACAAAGAAATTTACATTAATTTGAGAACAAAGTGTAGCATATTATGCAAATAGTTGTTTGGCTTCGAGCCTGTCACTTTGCCCGGCAAATAAATATGCATATAGTATAAAATCGATGTATATATAATTCGCTCACAATTAACGTTTAGTAGCTCTAATCAAAAAAAAAGAAAGAAGAATGCTCTACAAGTGCTGATAACCTGCGATTTGATGATGATACTGAGCGACAGGCGCAGGCGCCTAATTAATAGAAAGGCAGAGGGAGAATTTGAATTTATTGAATTCATTATGACAAAAATCAGAAACAACAAAAACAACAAAACTGCTGCGTGTGCGCATTCTTGGCAGACAACTTTGATCCCATTTAAAATGTATACAGATTTGAAATAAAATCACTGATTATAATATTCTTTCAAAATAGGGCTGGAAAATACTTTAATTAATTTATTATATTCATTCCATATTATTTAGAGGACATACTAAGGAAACACATATATATATTTGTATTTTTTGAATAAATATAAATTAAAAACACTCTCAGCCCATTTGACATTTTTATTAGCCTCAAAAAAAAGAACACGAATTTCAAATTCAAATAACTAAAAGATTTGCATCAAATTTTATTTGAAACATTCTAAATTAAATATGTATATCTTTTTTATAATGTCTTGATAATTCTTTTCATTCCATTTGTTTGTGTTGTGTGCCTATAATTTATGGCATTATTATAAACAAACTATACCCAGCTAAACTAAAGAATTTAGAAAAATTAAACATACCCAGGGTTAACAAGTCAAAGACACATAACAATTTCGTCAAATATATTTTAGCTGGTTGAATGATTAACATAGCGGTTAATCCGAGCTAATTAATAAACTAAGTCTTAAATATAACAAATATATGAGAACTACTGCTCAAATCCTTAGCTCATTAAAAATTGCATAAACTATTTTGTGGGCTTGGTGGCCGTTGCCAAGACCGATCCCACCGAAACACGTTCATAAGTAAGCACATGAAAAATGTCATAAAAAAAGAACAACAACAACATGCCCAACAATAACACAGACAACGATATCACATATATAATTTGCATAAAATCACCTGAACGTTAAATACTTATTTCGAGCTTATACCATGAAATGCTCATAAAGTTCAAGATAAGGCCGCAGGTTGGACTTTTTTATGTAAAACAGGCCAAAATCGACGGGGAATATGGAAGCAGTACCAAATCTACACTGCGAGAAATTTTCAATTTGTTTAATACTTCGAAGAATTTAATGAAGGATAAAAAATAACTAAGACTCCAATTCCTATTCACATATCAAATAAGTATGTTCATAAAGTCATTTACGTCATATTAACTCTGTATTGGAGCTAATTTCTCGCAGTGAACAGATTACACAAATAAAAAACTATGGGTCTGAATTATGGGCGCCTCTAAACAAAATACAAAATATTTACATAAATCAACCAAATATCATTCAAACTATTTTACATTTTTAATGAAGCCAACGCTAAAAAATATCGTGTACTCCTCTTCCACCTATGATTTTTATCGATTTGTACGTAATAAGCAACATAAATAAGAATTTTATGACGTCAAATTAAAAAGTGTGTCGTTGTCAAAAACCCATTAATAAATAGAAATGCAAATGCATTTTCATATTTTCGCTGAGAATAAATAAATAATCAAAAGGAGTATTATGTTCACCAAAATGTGTGTAAATACAATAAACTAGTTTTCAAAATTGTACTTAGTAATAAATAAAACGTGTATGTCTATGTGGACTAATAGTAATTAGGAACAACAAATAATGAATTCAAAATAAATCGTAAGAACTTGTTGAAGAAGCTACGCAACTGTTGAGCTTCGCAGAGCGCGCAGTGTTTTAAAATGACGATATTTGTTAACTAACACTTCTTTTTGACTTGCCGACGCGGCACGTTATCGATATTTATGTGTATCTCGAACCGAACACATTAAATTAAATAAAGATAAAGAATAAAGAGAACCTGAGATCTTACAAGAGATAATCAATGGTTTCAGAGTATAACAAACAGTTATACTCTTCTTTGATATGGGCAAAATATTAATCGATAAGTTGAGTAAAGACAGTGTTCCTTATTAGTCTCTGTTAAAGACTGTAAAATGTTAACTCAAAAATAATGCGCGGCATCATTTTTAAACCAGTCGCCAGCTGAAAGCACTGCACGTCATAATCATTATAGTACAACGTTACTCACAGAGATAAGCAAAAGACATTGACAAGTTTTTTTAATGTATGAAATTACTAATCCCGGTGAATTCGCTGATAAAATTGATGCTCACCATGCATGGCACACTTACCGACGATGCTCACTGTTAAATAACAGTTGAGCAAAATGTTAATATTTTTATGATGCCGAAAACATATGTTTGATGAACGAACCACAATCAGGGACTTAATTTAACAACACACGATGGAAGATCCGCTGAAGCCGAAGCCAGTGCCACTGGCGGCCGAAACAGTATTGTGGTTTGAGTTTTTGCTCGACCCAAACAAAATTACACAGCACTTGCAATGCAAGAATCCCGGTATGAGTCCCCCACGCTTAATTTTCATTTGTGGCACATTGGCTAAATAAGCTTCTTTCTTTCTCTCTCACTGCTTGCAGAGCCGGGTGCCGTGGAGCTAATCATGCAGTTCATCAGCATGACGCCAGACACGGCAATAGCATCCACTGTTGTCACACCGGGCAGCGATCTGCAGAATATGTCCAACGTCAGCGTGGGCGCCAATCCAGCCACACCCGCAGCCTCCGCCGTGCTCAATGTACCGCCCCCAATCCAGCAAAGGCAGCCGGAATTGCAATTGACGCGCAAGCAGCTGGCGCTCAAGATTTTGGAATTAAAAGTAGCCACTTGGCTGCGGTGGAATTTGGATGTGCTGGAGAATGGTCTGCCCGTATTGATGCAGCTGGCTCTGTTGCGGGATTTATGCACCATTAGCTACGGACGCGCCATCAGCATTCCATTTGCCAGTGATTTCGACATGAAGATTTGTACGTCAGCCCTTTGCTTATCTTAATCTCTGTTGCCTAAATTGTGATTGCCTTTTTTAGCAACCACTTGTGGAAATGAGCGCGCTGCCCGCTTTGCACTCACCATCTACCATCGGATGATACTCCGGCTGCAGCTCATCAAGGATGTTGCACTGAAGGCCCCTCGTCCCCAAATGTAAGTCTTGATCACAAAAGTGGGCTACTAGCTAATATCGCTGTCTTTCAGGTTTCCAGCCGCGGATCAGCTGCAATTATTTATGGACACGCCCACACAGCCTTCGATTGAATATTTGGAGCAGCTGTGCTCGACGGCCAACAACAAGCTGTTCCATGTCTTCCACTATGAGAGCTTTGTGACGCTGCAGTGCGATAATTTAGAGACCGCCCAGAACTATGACATGATGCACCTCATCACGCCACAGGAGTTGCGCGCTCAGCTGCAATATGAGCTGGCCAATTACTACCTCCATACCAAGCAGTATGTGCTGGCGCGTGAATCGGCCGCCGCCTGCAATAGCAATCTGCAAGCGTTGCCACCGGGAGCAACGCTCTACTTCTGTCACATTCAGCCCGCGGAGCTGGAAGGACTGTTGCAGGCGTGTGGCATCAGTGCTCAGCAGCACACGCTGCTCGAACGATTCCATCAGTCGCTGCTCAACAACTTTGCGGACATTGTGTCCATATTGCAACTGGACAATCGGGCGCGAGAGATTCCACTGGTGAGCAGGCGCAACGTCGAGCTGGACATTGAGGCCGCCATTTCCAATGGCCTGCTCAAGGAGACGCGTCAACTGCTGCTGCATGTGGCCGCATTGAATGTGGTGCGCACCATCTTCGAGTGGGGCAACATCTTTGGCAGCGTTGAGTACTTTGAGAAGTATCGCGACATGGACTACTTGCCGCCCATTATGGAGGCCATGCAGGAGGCTCTGAAGCACTGCAGCCAGTCGGAACAGACGGCCCTCAAGCATTTCCTCATTGATTGCCTGCTCTATCAACAGCAACAGCAGCAGCTGGAGCAGAGCCGGCAGCTGCTCCATACAGCCCGTGGCATGGGCATTTTCAGTAAGGAGGAACTGCTCGATTTGGAGGAGCAGCTGGTGCAGGCGGCGTTGCCCATACTCAGTAATTCAATGGCCACACTCAACGATTGGATTTGTCATTCGAAAAGTGCGTTTTTATTTAATTATAAAATTCTAAATTTGTTTAAAATTTTACTTCAAATTTATTCTACTTATTTGCCAATCTTGCAGTGACTCGCGTGGATGTTGCCGCTTTGGAGCGTCAGTTGATCACCTGTACGAATGCGAATAGCGTGCGGATTCTGCTGGTTAAGCTGTGTAGCACGGCTCCGGAGAAGCCGCTGTGGGCCATCAATCCCAGCTGGGATGTGCCCCATCCATTGAAGACGCTGATCATGGCAATGCCGGTGAGCTTCCTGCAAGACTTCAGCTATGTGCTACTGGGTAAGGCACGGGAGCTGGCGGCACGTGGCAACTACATCGATGCGGTATCCATGCTGAGCGTGCTCAAGTCGGAGACACAGCGCCAGGAGCTTGGCGCAAGCGTTCAAATAATGTGCAAGCTGATCACATGGGAAATCCTGCATATACAGATCACACAAAGCCTGGACGAATGGCACCAGAAGCCGCTCGATCTGCAGGCTCTGGGCACACGTTGCAAGCAGTGTTTGGGCGCATTGCAGGCGGGTGATTCGATGATGCCGCGACTGGAGATACTCGAGAGTTGCGCCATCATGCTGCTCAATCTGACCGACTTTCCGCCGCTGTTGTATCTGGACAAGCGAGTGCAGCAGCTGGAGTTGCCGTTGGCCTTCGCGGCGACCTTCATAGAGATGGAGAAGATGAAGGGACCGAAGAAGGTGTGTCGCGATGCTTGGGAATTGATGTTGAGCATGTTCCTCAATGTGCCCAAGCGGGCATCCTCAACGGGCGCTGGCAGCGGTGCCAGCAGCTCACTCCAGGCATTCCTGCAGCGTGTCCGGCATCAGAGTGTCTTTGGCTTAGCCATTTCCATGCTTGGCAAGATGCACAATATATTGAAGGATGATCCTAATCACGATTTGAGCTGCGAATACATGCAGCTCTGGCCCACCAGCATTAACAAGTAGGCACAACTTGTCACCATTCATCAACTTTCATCCAATGCTAATCTTGACACCTTTTTGTCCAGTCCAAACAGCTATAGTTTGAGGAGCGTTTGCGAGACGCTTCAGTGGCTACTGTCCGAGGCACTTAGCCACTATCCGCAGACCATCTCGTGGCTGAAGATGAAGGGCGACCTGGAGCTGGCCATTGGCAACAATGAGTCCGCAATGCGTTGCTATGTGAATGCTCTGGTCACCGGCACCGATTATTGCACGATGCCGCTGCAGCGGAATGTCGCCGATGATTATGTGATTAGAAAGATGATACGGTGTGCCGCCAATTTGGGCTGTCACATGCAGGCCACCGTACTGTGTCAATTTCTTGAGGAGATCGACTACGGCATTGTCTTCAAGAATCTCAGTGAAAAATCATCGAATTTCACGGACGCCATGGATGCATATTACAGCTGCATTTGGGATACGACGCTTCTCGAATTTATTGTTAATCTGCATGCGAAACGTGGCGAACATAGTCGCAAACTGGAGGCGGTATGTTCCACGGCTGCTTTGCATCCAATGAATTGAAACTAACTTAAAACGTTCTCTAATTTATGTACTTTTCTTGCAGATCTCTATGATGGGCACCTTGGAGCTGAATGCCAACAACAATGAGGAGATCCGACGTGAGAGCGCCATGGTGCGAAAGTCGCGCTTCCTGCGCGCCCTGGCCAAGCAGTATTTGCTGTAGTCGCAGCCCATCCTCCCCTGAAACTATGACCAAGCCCACACACAAAGAAGACCAATTAGGAATAAGTTGAAACAAGTTTTTTTGTAATCGTACCAAGATAGTCTTATGTAAGCTTAAAGTTTTAGCCAATTAGTACATGTGGTTTAAATTAAAATTAAACATGTAATTTTTCGTGTAGATTATATTAGGATTAATTATTTTGGTCGCCTGCCACGGCCAGCGCCGCTGCCACCACCGATTTTGGCCTTCTTACTGTTAGCACTCTTTTTGGACTCCTCAGCCTTGCGTTTGGCAGCTGCGATTGCATTCGGAGAACTGGGCAGTGTCTTGAAGAAGCTATCAAGACGCACCTGCGTCTGTGCCTGCTTCGACTTGAGCAGCTTCTTGGCGCCATTGCGGACACGCTCCTCGTTGAACTGCCGGTCGCCGCAGAGGAACTGCACGAGTCCATCCTCATCGGGATCCGTCCACTTTAGATCAATGGTGCTGGCATCTGTGACATCTGGTTCGATGAAGAGCTCGCGTGCCCGCTTATAGTTCCAATTCTCTGGCACTGCGTACTTGTTGGTGTCGATGTTCTCCAAAATGGTCTCAATATCCCGATAGCTCTTGATCAGCTCGATGGCGCGCTTTGGGCCGACACCCCTGATGCTCTCACAGTAGTCACAGCCCATGAGAATGCACAAGTCGATGAACTCCTTGCTGGTTAGCTCCAGGCCCTGCAGTACTTTGTCGTAACTGAACTCCTTAACGGGCATTTTACGTGCCTCGCTGTAGGTTAGATATCGAAGCAGTTTGCAGGAGCCAAAAGTTAATGCGTCCATATCCTCCGTTGCCGTCGCATACACCTTGCCTGCCTTGACCAAAGCAGCACACTGGGCCTCTGCCTCACAGGGTGCATCCACATAGGGCACACCCATCAGCTTTAGCAACTCTTTGGCCTCCCGCGAGTGTTCCTTTGTGACGCGCACCAGGCGACGATTGAATTTTTCAATCTGTGCCTCATCGCCGGCTTCCGTTGCGGCTTTCAGTGCCTTCTCGGCCTCATCACGGCGTTCCGCACGCTTAGCCAGCTCACCGGATTTCATGTCTGGCGGCGCACCATCGAAAACGTAGACGGGCTTAATCCCATTGTCCAGCAGACGAATCGTGCGGTAAAACATGCCCATCAAATGTGAGGTGGGATCACCGTTAACCGCCGCCAGTTGAGCTCCCTCCGAGCGCACTGCAATCAGAAACTGATACAGACACATGCTGGCATCGATGGCCACCTTCCGACCTATTAAATGATGCATATATAATTGATAATTACTCCTATTTCGGTATTACATATTCTGTTGTGCAGACTTACCAAAGAAGTTCTTGATTTCGCTCTCGCGTATGGCGAGTGGAGCCAAATCGGCTATAAGCTTCGAGAGGCCCAAAATTCCCATGTTGAGTGCCTGTTTATTACTTATACAGCGTTTATTTATATGTTTATTGCTTGATTAATTTTGTGCGCGCGCTTTTCGTTGCAAATGTTGTGCACGCGTTTCGTTGTGAGTGTCACGTGAAAGAAGTGCACTCATGGCATTTATGCATAAGCATTTGTCGACGATCTATCGTTTTTTATAACAAAATTAAAGGCGCTTGATAGTTGACAAAGGGGTTTGGCCACATGTGGCATGGTTAGGTCATGTGAGCGCTTTGCATTTATATTTGTAAGTCGGATGATAAAAACGCAGAATACTGCAGCTTACCGGAATAAAAGTTTGCATTTTGGCTTGCCGCCATTTATCGATAACGCTGATGCAACGCTATCGATATATTTACTCATCCCTAACGCCACACACATAAGCATAAGCATGTCGGCTGACGAAAAAAAAGATAAAACCATTGAAAATATGGTACGTAAATTACAGTAAATTATGTCAAAATAAAGTTAAAAGTGTGTGTGACAAACGCGCATAGAAAAACAATGGGGTGCAAATGTGCAAACATGCAAATAAAGCGCAACAAATATTGCTCTCGACAAATCGGTCTTTCTCCCCTGCGACGATTCGGTTTATGTGTATAAACATGGCGTCGTCGCATTTGTATGTTGACTATGTCTAGTTTTCGGTGCGTGCAAGCGAGACAACGTGTGCATGCCCAATGCCCCCATAGAGACACGCATACACAAACGCAAAGCTCAAAAGAAAACTTGTGTGTGCTCTAAAACAATCGAAAGAAAACGAGAAAAAAATTCGAAATAACTAAAACGCATAAAGCAATCGCCGCACAACGTACAACGTCTCTAATGGTATTGGTAGCGCATGTGAATGTGAAACGAAAAGAAAACGCCGCCAAAAATATATGTATATATATTATTTGCAAGTGTAATTTAATTGTTTTTTTTTTTTGCTCTTGTTTTGATTCTCGTTAGGATGCCAACACAGCGCCAGAAGTGGAGACGGTGACAGCGACCAAAGAAAATGCCGCTGATAAAGCAAACATCGAGTCGAATAAGTTGCTCGAAAATGCATCCGAACCAGCAGCAGCAACAGCAGCCGAGGATGCCGAGCAGGCAGCAACAGCAGCAGGAACTGTGGAAAAAGAGAGCAACGATGCAGCGGCAGTAGCAGCAGCGCCACCCGCGACTGATGACGTCGCTGATAAAAAAGCTGCTGTTGGAGACGCAGCGACGGCTTCGACCGCGCCAACATTATTGGATGCAGGTAAATAAAAGCAACACAACACACTCACGATTGCTTGCTTGCGCACACGCAGGCATCTCTCTTAAGCTTGTGTGTGTGTGTGTGTGAAGAAAGAGCGAGAAAAACAAAAATCATAAAATAAAATTTGCGCGCGTTTCGTGTAAAACAAGGCGAATTGAATTCGCTCCCTCAATACATGCATACATGGACGTCGCTAGCCGTTGTTGCTGCTGCGTTGGCTTTGGTGCCGCTGTCTAAAATGCCGCGCGAACATTGCGTGATTTGTTTTTCGTTTCGCGTTTGTCACAGGTTTTAGATTGTGTGGGTTCGAAATTCACTGGAGTTTTTGATGTTTGATGAGATTTGTTCGAGAATGGATTGACGAGAGGATTATTGAATTTTGTGTTGCTTTTTCCCAATTACTGCTTACTGAAAATGTGTGTTATCCTTAGCTATTGTTCATGCGAAACCTTGAACAATATGGTTTTGCATAGTAAATGCTAAGGTAGAATAAAAACTACTTCAATTTTCATAGTTCCTTGCGCTCCCAAAACCAAGCATTGGACTTCCCAAGCATGAAGATATTTCAACAAATATTTTGTTTATTTTTTGTACATTTTAAATATTTGTATCGAAATAGGCAACGATATTAAATATATTTAATAATAGAATAATTACCAATTTTAAATTTATTAAACAAATTCGTTAACTTCAGATGGAAAGGAAAAGGACACAAAAGCATCATCGCCAGCACCGCCAGCAGCAAAGAAAGTTAATAATGGCGCCAAGAAGAATGCCGCCAAGGCTGACGACGATGACGAGCATGCAGATGATGACGAGGACGAGGATGAAGAGGAAGGAGACGAGGATCTGGCGGACGATGATAAGGAAGATGGCAGCGAGGAGGACGAAAAGAAACCAACAGCAAATGCAGCAGATAAGAAGAAAAGTGATGCAACAGATGGGGCCAAGTCAAAGTCGGGATCAGCAGCGGCAGAGAAGTCAGCTGTCGCCAGGAAGACTGAGTCGAAGACCAAGAACGGCAAAGTAGACAAGTCGGAGGAAAATGAAAAAGATGACGACGATGCTGACGAAGGCGACGGCCTCGATGAGAACAACGAGGTGGCCGAGGATGATGAGAACGTTGTAGCTCTGGCCGAGATCGATCGCATTAACGAGAACATTAACAAGACCCGCGTCGATGGGCTGCAGGTTCTTCATGCAGTATGTTCAAATTTTCAGGACTACTTGATTGAAAATATCAATAATTATAATTCGATATTTGTTATATTTGCAGCTCTGCTTTGGAGCACAGGGCAAGAATAATGTGGTGAAAAAGAATCTGCGTTCATTTGCTGGTTTTGAGTTTGCCAAGGATTCGTCGGATTACAAAAAGAAATATGAGTCTATCAAAAAAGTGGACAACAAATCGCTGCGCAGCATCTGTGAAATTCTAACGTTGGATCGCAAGGGCAGCAAAGATGAGATTGCGTCGCGTGTGCTCAAATTTTTAATGGAACCCGATGAGTCGTTGTGCATCGAGCAGGGCGACGAAGAGGAGGAGGAGGTGGATGATGAGGAGATCGACGATGATGAGGTCGCCAGCGAAGAGGAAAAGAAACGCAAGAGCAGCAGCAAGGCGAGCGGCGGCAGAGGCTCAGCACGCAATTCCACCGGACGTCCAAAACGTTCAACGGCAGGCAAGAGTAAGTTTGCTCGCCCATACTCATTAATTGAATGATCTCAACTTATACAATTTTCCATTTGCAGAAATGTCCGCATATGTAGATTTATCAAGCTCCGAGGAGAGCGAGCACAAAGTGCAAGTGGCTAAGCGAAGACGAAACGATGACTCCGAGTCCGGCTCAGATGTAAGTCAGCCCCGAAAACGTTAGCTCGTATCAGTCGCAACTCACAATTCCCTCTCATTCTCTCTTCACTTGTAGTACAATCCTTCGGGCAATTCAGATTCGGATGCGGGTCGCGGAGGTGGTGGCGGCGGTGCTGGTGGTGCCGCTGCAGCCGGTCGCAAACTTTCTCGAGGCAGTCGTGGCCGGCCGGCGCGCAAAAGTCGTCGAAGAAATTCAGATTCCGAAGACGAAGAGGAATCAGAGCTGTCCGATGCTGATAGTGATGTAAGTGTTCATTTCTTTTTGGTTACATTTACTCCCCATTCTTATCACATCATTCATCATTTGCCCCACATAGGTGCCGAAGCGCAAGCGCGCCCCTCCTGGCAAACGTGGCCGATCCGCTGCGACCGCTACTCCGGCTGGCAGACGAGGTCGTGGACGAGTCGCCTCTGCGCGAAAGCGCAAGGATTCGGAAAGCGAAGATGAGGAAGTGTCAGAGGACGAGGAGGAGGAGGAATTGTCCGAATTCGGCAGCGATCAAAGCGAGGTGAGTGTCCCAACTCGAAGTATTTCTAATCTTATGTTAATCAATTTCAATAATTTTTTATCTACCAGGAGGAACGCCCCAAAAAGAGTAAGAAGCCAACAGCGCCTGCGAAAAATAGCAAAGCTAACAACAAGTCAAAACCAGCTGGAAAGTGTATGTATTTAAGACATTCTCTCGCCTCTAAATATTAATAATATCTTAATCTGTTTATTTTAGCCGCTGGTCGACCGAAAAAATCAAAGAAGGAAACGTCTGAGGAGGAAGATGTCGATGACAAAGATGAGTCCGATGAGGATGAGCCATTAACCAAAAAGGGCAAATTGGCATTCCCAACGGTAAGAGAATTCCTTCCATTGTTATTATCAATGTTACTTTAATTATTTGCAATTCCATTTCATTTCAGGATGAGGAAATACGTAGCTTTGTCAAACAGATATTGGATAAGGCCAATCTAGAAGAGATAACAATGAAAACAGTGTGCAAACAAGTCTATGCTAAGTACCCAGATTTTGATTTAACAGAGAAGAAGGATTTCATTAAGGCCACAGTTAAAGCGGTAGGTGTAAAATGACATGCTACTATTTGATGACAGATTATATAAGTCATATGTCCTCTTTTTTGATTCCAGTTAATTGCAACATAAAAACTACACAAAAAAGGGAGGCATTGGAGCCTGGGGATTGGCCAGCAAGCAGTAGAACTTGTTCCAAAACACTGAAAAATAAAACAAACAACACAACAAGCGACCGCTAAAGCAAAACATATTTTTGCCACTTTTTGAGAGCTGCTGCGACAACAAAAACAAAACAAAAAAAAAAAACAAAGAAAAAACCTCTAGTTTTCCTATAAGCGTATAATTTGTACTCTATAAAAGTAACTAAACTTTACCTTAAACGGATTATGTCCTTCTTTCTATTGTGTACTAAGATTATCCATATATGCATGTGAATATGTATATATCTAAACGTAATTTGTAAACACTTACTATTCATTTTCTTTATGAATATACCTGCGCTCTCAAACGGCTCTACAAAAAATGAAAAAAAGAAGTGTGGTAATTTAAGCAAAACCCGAAATAGAAAAGAAACTTGTAAAAACAAAAGCAAATGAAAGAAACACACAAAATTTATAAGTACATTAAAATTTAGTAGTGCTGGTTGATTTGACGTTCAAAATTATGTATTTTAAATTAAGTAAAAGACGATAAATAAAAAGAAAACAAATCTATAAAAAATGAAAAGATAATAATAAATAACACACTGGCAACAGTACAAAAAACGAAGCATGGAAACCTTAAAAAACAAAATCCGAAATTGAAGATATTGATATACTGCACACACTTTCGGCTATGTAAAAACTAATAAACTATTTTGGACTTGGGCGAGTCAAGCGAACGCACTAGGAATGATATTGTTCAAGGATTGCTAGCTATAATTTATTAATTCTTGAAGCAAAGTTTTGAAATGACTACATTTTATGATTGGTGGCCAGTTTTGATAATTTTGCGATTTACATTTTTTTTTTGTTGTCTTTTAATAATGAGGTGAATAATTTAAAAAGGAGGCTTACTGAACTCTCAAAGAAATTGTTATGATAAACACTCTTGTACTTCCACATTTTCAAATGATTTTTGTAACTTCCGTTAATCTCAAGTGATTGGCTTTGATACTAGATTGAAGACATAAACTGAAGCAGGTTTCTCTTGTAGAGCGGCAACACACACACCTAGAACTTACACACACACACACACAATATGAAATATGAAACAAAGAAATAAACACAGTGCAAGGAATATTAGGTATGAATATTCATGCAGAAATAGATGTATGTAAATTTTAAATAATAAATTAAACAAACAAATGAATGAACAAAAATACAAGTAAATGTTTTGAACACCGCCACAGACACACAGAAATAAATACAAACATCTTGATGTACGTTTTCTTGTAGTTAAAAAGAAAAACAAGTTTCAAAAAGGAAATAAATTAAAAAGATAAAAAACAACCAAATAAGTATGAAATAAAACTCGATGTGCGTTAATATGCATACATAGTATATATATATATAAAAAGTACATGTGAAAAACAATGAGTTTACGAGGATCGTACAAGAACAATGTCGGATAGAATTTAATGAACGCTCTCTTTGTAGAACAACAGAACTTAACTTAACCGTAAATCGCGTACATCCCAATTGGATGCCTAGATGTTAAGCGATATTTTGTTTTATCTTTAAATGTTTTCGCTAAGGAAATAAAGACGAATGCAGTATGTATATCAATAATATATCGCGAGAAAATAAAATTTTATGTGCGTTTTTCTTTAATGGGAATGCGTTGCGAATGAAAAATTCTTATATATACATTGTTTGGTTTATACACATATCAGCCTATACTATATAATACAACAAAATAATTTGTGGTTCCTTGGAAAAAAAAACATAGCCGTTTCTAGTTTTGTTTCAGATAGAAAATTTATTGAGAAATCGAAAAAATATGCAATATTTGGCAATATTTAAAAACAATCGTAATATACTTATGTATTTAATGCGCATATGAAGGATTTAAGGTAAGCCTGTCAATTTGACGGGCAAGTGGATCACGTGGATAAGGCTGTAACATATAGATATTAAAAAAGATCAATTTGCTATTTTTTTGGTTTCTGTTTTTTTTTTTGTTTTTGTAGGACAAGACATGTTAAATGGTAATAATTGATAAATAAAACACACTTTCAAAAATTTGTGAGAAATGATTTGTTAGGTTTAAAATGCATTGAATAATATTGAATATTGAAAGGATTATTACTCAATTGGCCCTGGAAATAGATCAAAGCACATAATTTAAATCAAATATAAAGAAATATATATAGATATATATATATCAATTTCAAAAATATCATTTGATTGCGAAATAAACGGCTTGATATTGACCCAAAATGTAAATTCAAAATGGTTTTTCAATGGGTTCTACATAAAATTCAGATATATAATAATGTTTGTGTCGTTGTCGTGCTGTATACTTACCACCAAAGTTCAGATTACAGATTAAAGATTTCATCTGAGCGCCACCTGCTTAAATGGAAAGAAATAAACAACTTCCCGATCAAAGAAAACATAGCCAAAGCTAAGCCAAATTCAATGAAATATCTGCTTCAACGTTTGAAATTGATTAGAAATGGCAAAAGTTAGTTGGTGTCTGTTCCAAAATATGACTTGACTCTAAAAAAGTTGCCTTTCAGTAAGTTGTACCGTTATTCGAAACTGTATATAATAATATAAAATATTTAAATGCATACATACACATATTGATATACATATATATAATACTCGTAATTTATAGGTAATATAAACCGCATAGATCGCAAACAAATGATATATTGAAACAACATACTGATATACAATTAATAATCGTGGAGATTCAGTTTTATATATGATTAAAATAGATATAATTAAAATATCAATATTCAATTGGTTTTTGTTTGTTTTTGGAGAAGGTACAGCAAGTACACCGTGGAAAATCGTTGAGGTTGGCTATTGGAATATATAGAGAAATATACATCAAGTCACATCATCGGTATGTATGTAATTTATGTACAATTATAGTAGTAGTAGTAGTAGTTGTAGTAGTAGTAGTAGTAGTATATATCAGCAATATAACGAGTACACATGTGCATAAGATATGGCATTTAAAATATGTAGACAAGTAGTAGTATATATTCAAAATGTTTCAAGGAATATTCATAGACCTGCTACATACCCAAACAATTTGACAACGACATCGACTGAACACACACAAAAGCAAAAGCCCGTCCCTAGATCCCATCCAAACTCAGCCCATCTGAAAATACGCTCAGAAACGATTTTCATATATGGCAAACATAGAAAATAAAATAACAGTTTGATAAATAAAAAATATAATAAATAGAAACGCATAATTTGCATACAACGTACAAGCTGGTGTACGTTGGTTGCATTTTGGTAATGGGTTTTATAAATATAAATATATATATATTATATAGTCATATTATGTGTTTATTCAATGTATCGAAGGCTGCTGCAGAAAGAGATTAGTAAATCTTGCAACACGCCCACTTTCTTATACAAATATTCATTAGAAATGGGTGTATTATTTTGTTTATCTTTTTTTTTTTGTTCTTTTGTTTTTAGCTGTTGCAAACATTAATATTCATCATCATTTTGAAGAGACATAAAACTTAGGCTATTTATTGCATTTAAATATATATAATTATAATTTTGTTATAATTGCAGACCTACTTTTATATATATATATATAGATATATGTATATGGTTTACGCATTAAAATGTTTATGGTTCGCATTGTAAGATTTGTAAGAAATACACAATAACAACAGAAGATCTTACCAATTTTCACGCATTTCTACGACTATCAAGAATTATTATTATTTGTAATTATCAATTTGTTTTCATTAGGGATTTCGGTTTTTTTTTTTGTAACTCTTATGAACTGGTTTGATGATCGGCCTCTGAAAGTATATGCTCTATATATATAGAATCGTTTAAATACAATATGAAATTGAACTCTTTCATATACATAGATATCGTTATACCACAACTTATCGTTATAGATCTTACCAAAAAATTATAGGTACAAATAGATTTGTGAATAAGGGAAAACAAAAACAAGAAAGAAAAAAAAAACATACAAAATGTGCCAACGGATTGCCAAGTTGTTTAGAGAGAGAGCATGCGGCAATCTGCGCTGAGGCCCTTATTGTTGTTTGTTGTTAAATGGTATGGGGCAGTTTATCAATCTGAACTGAAATCAAAATTATGTCTTAAGGATAATCAATGAACAATATATATTTATATATATGTATGGTATATGTCCTTAACTGAAATTTGAAAACAAAAGACGTTAAACACATTGTTATAGATCCAAATATCAATAAATGTGACATCGACATTTCTTCAGAACAACCGACCAGTTACATCGAAAAGGATTAAACAAAAAATAGAAATATCATTCTAGGCATATTTTGTTATACAAGACAATTTAAAATTTTACAGTTTGAAAAATCTTACCAGATCAGTTGAAACGTTGATCGTAGTATTTCACATTGAACAGTTTATAAATGTTTAATAATGTTTATGGGGATGTATTAAAACTAAGCTAAGTTAAAATGTATATGAAAGAAACGTTTTGTGGTATCAAAAGGTTTATAGGTAATATTTTTTGTTTTCTTGGTTTTTTTGTTTGTTTGTTGTCTTTCAATACACACACACGCACACACACACACTTCAACTTGGACATTGTTCTAAGTTGTGCATAAGTATGCTTCTAATTTGCTATAGTTGGCAGCTGTCGGAAGATGCCTAAATTGACGACGAAAGAAATTGTATGCATATTATGAAATTATATATGCATATATATATGAGTGAATGTGTGAATATATATATATATATATGTAAATACAACTAGTAATTTGTGAATTGTCCCAGAAATTTGTGTATCTGAACGTGGACAGCAACAGTAATTTGATTTTGTTTTTTCTTGTTTTGCTTTGTATGTTATAGAATTAATATTTCAGGCAATATCACTTAGAATCTAGGAGTGAAATTATAAGTTAAAAATAGAAACCAATGTAATTGGCATATAATTAAATACGTATATATATATATAAATATATATAGATATATGTATAATAAATTTACATTTATGCAAAGCGCGATGCATCAAGCTGCAAGTGTGCAAAATTGATTGATTGACTGTTTGATTGTTTGATTGATGGTTGTCTTGACTCTGCTGACTCTGCTCGATGTTATTGTTATTGCTCTTCTCGCTCATCTTTACGCGCTTCTCAATGTGTTTATTTGCTAATTTATTGGGGATAAAAGACATGGGATAGTAGAACAATTCATATGATTTCACTGCAAAGAGTTTTACGCATGGTAAACAAGAGATCGTTAGGTTTTCATACACATATACATAGTTTCGCAGGTAATTAATTATATATATATACAGAAGACAAGAATATATCGTAATAATACAAGAATTCATAAAGTACATATATTTATATATCAAATGAAGTAATCAACATGACAGGCATTAGGAAAGAAAGCGAAAGTAAAAAGTAATCAAGGCATCAATTGTGGCAGCAGCGAGCGAACACGCAACGTACCCCTGCATGTATACATATCGAGAATTTCTCGAGTGGATTCGAGTCGAGTGGTGTACTCACCATTTTCAAGGCACCCGCATCACAAACAGTCCCTCTTAATGTTTATCGTTCTTGTGTGATTTCTGCGATGGCTGTTGACCGGGTCCGCCAGCTGGCCCGCTGGGATAGCCGCCATAGCCTCCGCCCGGATAGCCACCGGGATATCCAGCTGGGGGACCACCGCCCTGTCCACCACCACCGCTGCCAGCTGCGCCGCCTTGTGGCTGGGGCGCCCCTTGTGGCGGATGACCCGCAGCAGCCGCTGCAGCATAATACTGTGAATATTGTGCATATTGGCTAGGAGTCATACCTTGGGCATAGCCACCGGCTGCTGCAGCGGCGGCCGCTGCTGCAGCTGCCGCAGCCGCTGCATTGGGCTGCTGCTGGTTCGGATTGGGGCCACCTTGATTTGGATTGGGCACGTTGCTGCCACCGCCAGCGCCAGCTCCGTTTTGCTGCACATGCAAATCAATCAAACAAATTAATTAGATGTCAGAAATGTGACAAGAGTTATATCAAGTATCAAGTATTGTGTATCTTATCTATTTTGTGATACGCTCTTTTCAAACATCATCATTTTGGCAGATTTTACATTAGTATGTTATATACGGATAATAACACCTAACGAAGTAGTCAATATATTTATAACAAATTGATTCACATACACAATCCTCGAACTATATTCCATTTATCCCACAAGAAATACTTTTTCAATGCGGTCGAGTCCGACAAATGCATTGCTTGCAGTCGAAATACAACTTTACTTTGCACAGAAACAGACAAGACAGACTTATTTTTACTAAACATCTGCACTACTTAAATTTACGCTTCTTTAGTGGGTACAGTTTGTTAATAATAATAAACTATTTGGTTTTACTTCAACCCTTTGTATTTTTGAGTTATTGAGAAATCTCAATTTTGAAGCTGTACCTTTGTCTTAAGTGTCTTTTCAATGGCTTCTGCTTCCTCGACTTTGCCCACACTGCGATAGTATTCCGCCCACTGCGCACTGTAGTCAGCACTATTGGCGCCGCTTTGCTGTTGTTGTTGCTGCTGCTGTGGTTGCTGCTGTTGCTGTGGTGCCTGTTGGCTGGGTCCTGCACCGCCAGCCGCCTGCTTAGCCTTCATCTGCTGCTCAATCATATCTGCCTCGCGATGGCAACCAATTTGTCTATAATTTGCAAGGGAGGCAGTTTAAGAATTTAACTGTTAAATTTGTGTTTATTTTTCCACTCACTTGTAGTATTCGATCCATTGAGCTGAGTAATCTTGACTGCCAGCGCCGGCAGCTGCACCTGCCTGACCTTGACCCGCCGCCATGGCCATCTGTTGTTGCTGGGCAGCGGCTGGATCCCAGCCACCCTGTTGTCCATAGGCGCCCCAGGGCTGCTGCTGTTGTTGCTGATAGGCGGCAGCAGCGGCTGCATTGGGATCGCCGCCTTGCATTTGGTTGCCACCGTAGCCACCCGGCTGCTGATTGTGGTGGGCATTGTTGCCGCCACCACCACCACCGCCGCCACCTCCGCCGCCGCCGCCACCACTGATGGGCTTTCTTGAGATTACCGTCAGTTCCATGTTGATCTTTTCGGAAATCATTTGACGTGCCGCTTCCACCTGATCGGTGGAGCCCTTGGATTTGAAGAGCTTCTCATTTGGCGGATTGCTGGCATTGCGATCCATTTCTGTATGCGCTCCCGACTGCTGGTTGATCAGCTTAATCGTCTCCCCGCCGCGTCCAATGACAATCTAAACCAGTTAAAATAGAATATGAACTTGTTGCAAGATCTAATTTAGAATCTAGTTTCACTTACGCCACACTTGGAGGCAGGCACCAGGAAGGTGATCTCCTCGCGACCGCCCTGTGCATGATTCACGCCATAGCCGTAGCCATAATTGGAGTTGTTGGAATCGCCGCCACCTTGACCGCCACCGCCGTTGCCGCCACCGTTGCCATTGCGATTCATTCCATTGCGTTGCTGGGGATAGAATTGAATCCACTTAATACTTGAATGCAGTTCATATAAGCGATTAACATAGATAAAAGACATTCTACAGCGAAAGAGCTTTCACTTTTGTTCCTAAAGCTATTCGATATCTCCTCACAGCACAATATTTTAATTAGTGAGGCTTTAGCTGCCATGCCAACTAGATTTGGTGTCGTATGACAATTTGTTAATCTTTGTAACCTCAGCGATCACATACTTAAATCCAAATGGTGGATTATTCATTGGAAGCTATTCCAATTTAACAGTATCAAATTCAGCGTTCGATAAATTAAAATAATACGGTTTCTACAAATAACATTATCTCTTGTAGCTGCTTACCATTACATTCTCGATGAGGCCGTCGATGGTGCGCTTGGCATCCTCCACCTGCTGGCGTGTGCCTTGGATGACGCAGCGGCGATCGCCCATCTCATCGTTCTTGCCCTGGATGAACTGCAGCTTGCAACCACATTCGGTTTGAATTTTACGTATCATGTCGCCACCTTTGCCAATGACGACGCCCACAGCAATTTTGGGTACGAAGACCTCGACGCTTTCGCCGCCGCTGCCATTGTTGAAGTTGTTGAAGTTCGGTTCGGAGCCACCGCCACCACCACCACCACCGCCAGAACCGCCGCCAGAGCGTCCGCCGCCCTGCTGCTGCTGGGATAATGCGTCCTTTTGGGCAATCAGATCCAGGACCATTTGCTTAGCGTGCTCCACCTTTTGCGGTACGCCGGAAATGCGCAGCGGTTTGATGACCTCCTGATTGGGTCCATCCTGGATGATGATCATGCGAGCACCCGTCTTCTCCTGCAACTGCTTGATTGTGTCGCCACCCTTGCCAATGACCAGACCCACCTTGGCACCCGGTATCATGATCTCCTGGTACGGCGGATAGCCACCAGGACCCGGCGGCGGCATATTAATGGTTAACAGCACCTCGCAGCTGCCATTGCCATTGCCGCCGGCACCATTCCGGCCAACCATCTGCTCCAGCATCTCACGGCCCTTGGTGCAGCTCTCGCGGGTGCCACGCAGTGTTATCACACGCTCCTGATCCTGCATCAGCTCCAGCTTAGCACCTGACTCCGCCTCCAGATGGCTGAGTGTATCGCTGCCGCTGCGTCCCACAAATGAGCTAACAATGCTCTCCGGGATGCGCACCTGTTCCTCGCATGTGGATGCTGGCCAGGCAGCCAAACGTGCCGCAACTGCCGCTGCTTGTGCAATGGCTTGAGTCATATTTGCGCCACTGCCTCCGCCACCGCCTCCTCCCCCGCTACCGCTGCTCATGTTAGAGTTGTTTTGGCCGTAGTCGGGACTGCCAAAGGAGCGCTTACAGTCGGGTCCGCTGTCGCCGTCATCATTATGCCGCTTAAAACTGTTACCACCGCCTCCGCCTACCCCTGCTGATGGACCACTGGAGTCACCACCTGCCTGTTGTTGAGGATTTGGTTGTATTTTTGCGGCAATCTGCATAAAGATGAAAACAACAACGAGAAAATTTCATTTTGGGGGCTCCTTTGGGTCTGCTGCCACTTCTTCTTCTTACCTGCTTGGCTCGTTGAATGGCAGCTGCCAATGCCTGAGAATGAACCAAACTCGCCTGTTGCGTCTGAAAATCACTCATATTTGCAGCGTTTCTTTCGTTTTTAGTCCAGTTGCTTTTGCCTGTTTATTTTTTCCTATAATTATTCTAATCGAATTGAAAAAAAAACGCCGACGCAAACTGACGACGTGCAACTGGAAAATTCAATAACCAATTTCACTGCGCGCGAGTTTTTAGTTTAGATCTTTTTGAAAATGTGCTTCCCGTTGTGTTTTTTGTTATCTATCACAAGCGTAAACGGTTTGTTAATGGTTTTGGCTCATAATAATTGCATCTGCTATAGTTTTACGTGGTTTTTTTTCCTGTGAAAATTATGCGCCCCAATATGAGTACACAGAGATGCTTATTTACCAACACTTTTTAACACATTTTCCAGCACTTGGCAGCAATGTGGTTGCATTTATATCGATAACAATAATGGGTATAACGATATTTCGCGGGAAAACATAAAATATATGTAATAAAATATACTACATGTATTTCAATAGATAAAATTTCCATTTCTAATAATTCAAACAACAATTAATCAATAAAATGGAAAGGAAATGCATTCAACTAAACGATATTTATGAGGTTAAGTTAATCGTGCTATCAAACAGTGTTCCCACTAATATCGTTCCCACTGTTTTGCTACGCATATTACAGGTTTTCTAACAAAAAAGAAAACAGCTGAGCTTTGTTCTTGCCAACAGAAGTCGATTTTGTTAGCACAAAATAAATAAATATTAAAACTTAAACATTTTTGTAAAGAGAACTGCAAAGTAGACACAAAATCAAAATGCCTATTGACTGGTTCGGTTATGCATACGCTGCCACAGTTGCAGCTGGTGGAATTATGGGTTATGCGAAGGCTGGTTAGTAAAAGCTAAATAAATTGCTAACACAAACTTTATTTTCTCACAAAACTCCTTTTACTGCAAACAGGTTCAATTCCTTCACTTGGAGCTGGCGTTGCCTTTGGCGCATTGCTTGGCTATGGCGCCCACTTAAACTCTGGGGATCCACCACGTCCATTGCTCCAATTGGGCACATCGCTCTTTCTGGCCGGATTGATGGGTGCTCGCTGGAATCGATCGGGAAAACTGATGCCAGCCGGCATTGTTTGTATGCTTTCAGTAGCTGCTTTGGTTAAGAACTTGCTCACTTATAATCGCTACTTGCCAATGCCAACGAAGGGCAATTAAAACCAACAGCAATTTACACTTAATGTCTGGGCCTGGATTGCTTGCCGAGAGATTTTTTTTAAATTAATTATTTTTTTTATGTATTTCCTCTATTATTTTGTGTGACTCAAATAAATTGTAAAAGGTTAAGGGACTTATGACTGTCAAAGATTTAATGATAATGAAGTCGAGCCGGACTGTTAGACAAATGTATACAAAACATTTGTATTTATTGTGCACAACAAGCCTAATTCTCTTTGCATAACATTTACTGGAATTCGCATGATTATTATTTGTAATCTTGCGATAAGATAGCCTGTTTAAACATTAAACTGGCCCACGCACGAAGGCATCCAAGTGCAACTGCCCTCAATTTTGTATAGTAAATTGAATACACATTTAATCGGCTCAGAGATGTTGATATCATGTTACCCGATTGCAGTAGCAATTGCGAAATCAACAAATCAGTGCATTTCAAAATCCGTTTACTTGTGACAAAGTTAATGCAATAAGAAAAATGTTTACGCATACCTACAAAAATTGATTCACCGTACAATTTTAACATGATTTTCTGAACAAGAATCGCGTTTTTAACTTTATATGCTGGATTAATCTTGAGGTCAAAACAAGAACAAAAAGCCCCCCAGGCATCAGTTGACAATTAATCAGTCAACCAGGTTTTCAGAGATAAACAGCTCATTTATTTATGTATATGTATATGTTTTTATTTAATGAATATTCTTAAATTATGATTTTGTTTGCTTGCATGTGTTTATGTGTGTGTGTGTGATAAATGTACAGTTTCAATTTATATGATTTCCAGTTGTCTAGATCTAAAACTTACACATTATTATTAAGCTATTTTATTCTTACAATGAAAGGATAATGCAATTTTTAAAATTTTTTTGATCGCATTAACAATGCACAACTTTTCTACATTTTGAATACGACAACAATGATTGGAATTGCAAGTTTTTCTTGTAGGCAAAATGCGGCTAATTAGTTAAATGAAATTTTTCACAACTTTTCAAGCAAATTTTCTATAAAAAAAAGATAAATATTGTTAGTTAAGTATACAAATTATCTTTTATCACAATGGAAAATTGGAAATCCTTTAGGAATAATTTATCAAATTGTTTATGCTTGTTTTAAATACCAATGTGAATGCGTATCAGCTTTTTACAGAATCATATGTTATTATACAAAATATGATATTGTCTTTAATTATACATTTTACATTACATAATATATATATTCTATTCATATGTATTCAAAAATTTTCACTTAGTTGGGTGCGTGTTTTTCTCATTTGATTTTCTCATTTGTTTTTTTTTTTAACAGAAAATAAAATACAATATTTTTAAATTAGTTGTTACTAAAAACTAAAAACAAATCAATAGTATTTATATAATATTAATAAAAATAAAAATTCTATCTAAAAACACAATTTGCTCAACTGCAAATTAATTTGTATTTGTTCAAATTTCAATGGCATAACCAAACCGACCAAGTGTGCCAATTCCAAAACGTGTCTCTCTTCAAGGTCGCAGTGCACTAAAACGGAAACAGCTTCCAGTTAACCACTAAAGGAACAACAAAATAAAAGACAACAAGATTAATAAAAATGCTTTTAAATGTTATGCAATAAAATGTTAGCCGTGCAGAGGATGAGAAATGTTTGCAGTTTTTTGGTTTTATGGTCTTAAAAAAAAAGTAATCATTGCAGACGCCGCCAGACGCCCTTTTTTTTTTTGGTGTGTTTATGTTTATGTGCCACCATTTCTCAATTAAATCGCTAATTTGTGTTCCACATTCCATGCGTATCCAATAGCCAAATTTTATTATATTTTTCTTGCGTTTTCTTGATATCGCTAGATATATGTATATATTGTTGATATAGTTGATTTTATTTTTAGTATGCAATATGCGATTGGTTTTTATAGGTTTTTAGTTGATTTTTACGCCATGCCATTTTGCAATCCATTTCCAAAGGATTTTGGATCAAATACACCTTAATTTCTACGTTTTTATATGTTTTGCCGGCTTTCATTGATGTGTATACATGTATGTATATAGATGTGTGTGCGTGTGTGTTTGTGTGTATATGTGTGTGTATAAGACGAAATGTATACGTATGTGTGTAAATATGTATGTGTGCGTATTTTAATTACCAATTTGTGTCTGCATTGGTTTTTCGCATTATATATGTATGTGTATGCAATGCAATTTCGAGAGACAGGACGAGAGCTTTAGAAAGTTGAAGTTGAAATTCGAGATGGCAATTTAATGATTTGTTGTATCAGCAGCGATGGGTTTTTCGAATTTTATAGCGCATATGATAGATATCTGGCAAGCCGTATGAAGATTCTAATGAAAATGTCAATAAATGACCGGGTTTTGAGAATGACATCTGAGTGTGATGCTAGTATTCAGTTATATAGTCAGATATATATATATTTTTAAAATACTTGTTCGCAATTGCAATAGGTGACCATTTTGAATAGGAATAATGTAAATAAGTTTTGTATATAAAATATTTAAAATATTACTGTAAAATTGTTCATGCTAAGTTCATAACTACGTTTTCAAGCACTACTTTTTTGGACTACTACAAATGTAGTCCATACTACGATTTTCAAATGTTTTTTTTTCAAATAGTTAAAAAATGTTTTATTTTTTTTTTGGAGATGCTCGGTAATGGTCGAGTTTTGCAAGTCATGCGGCAAATGCTTAAAGTATTTAAAACGATATTACAACTAAATGGCCAATAACGAATGCGAATTGGTAAACTATAAGCCTCAAATACCGATTATATCTATGTATGTAGTATAGAGCAGGCAGCAAATACCACTACAATTGTATTTTTAGAATATATTCCCTTTTATTTATTGTTTGTTTAACGGCAAAGCTTTTAGACTACGAAAATAACGGGTTGATTGCTTGTTCTTACCGCACGAAGGGAGCAAATAACAAACGGAACAGATATCAGATCGCAGATTGCAGGGGTACAGTTAGGTTTCTGTGCGTGTATCTGACTTGTCTGTATGTGTGAGTCTGTGTCTGTGCCTGGATCTGTATCTGTGTGTGTGTGTTTGTGTGTGGAATACTTTAAGAGGTATGCAGAGAGTTACAGTTACAGTTACAGTTTCTGACTGGTTTGTTCGTTGGCAGTGTTGGAAAGTTGTTGCTGAAGCAGGTCCCCGCTTACACATTATACATATAGTATATAGTAGTAATAGTAAATGTAGCAGTGTTTTTTGTTGTTGTTGTTGTTTTTTTGTGGTTTTTCTGTTCTTTTTTTTGCGCCACATTTGTTTTGCCTTCTGTTACCCTTTACATGACTCGTGTGCGGCGTATCAGTTTTTGTGTTTTGATTTTGGGTTTTCTGGGCGTTGTGGGGCCATTTGGTGACTGTTGTTGTTGTTGTTGAAGCTGTTGTATGGCTGTTGTTGTTGTTGTGCTTGGTTCATTGTCCAACACCGTTGGCAAATTGTTGGTATTGTCGCCAATGTAATTGGTTGCATATGAAGGCGATGTCTGTTCTTGTTGTTGTTGATGTAGCAACTGCTGCTGCTGTTGTTGTTGTTGACTATGGTTATGACTATTGCTACTAACTTTATTACTACTATTTTTGTTTTGTGTAATACTACTGCGATTTAGCGTACGTTTTAAAAATTGACTGCCATCGAATTTATGCCGATGTTGTTGCTGTTGCTGTTTTTCTTGTTGCTTCTGTTGCTGTTGTTGTTGTTGTTGTGTGCTGCCCGCTTTTGTTGTTGATGAGCTGACGGAGGTGGACACCGATGTAGTGGTGGCTGTTACCGCACCATCCAGTGTTGGTAAATGCAATGCTTGAAATTTTTTAAAGTATGCATCGAATATCGATGATGTTGTTTTCAATTTTGTTGTTGTTGTTGTTGGCGTTGGCGCTGGTTTGGCTGCTGTTGTTGCTGATGCTGTGCTTGTTGTTGTTGGTGTTGACAATTGTTGTTGTTGTTGTTGATGTTGCAGTGTTGTCAAGTGTCGTGGTTGTTGTTGTTGTTGTGAGTGAAACTTACGTTTTTGCCGCTCAATTGCTTCATTGATCTCAATGCCGGCATTGGCCTCGTTTTCCTCATCAACTAGTTGTTGTTGTTGCTGTTGTCGCTTGTTGACTTCTTCGCTGTTGTTGTTGTTGCTGTTTTGTTCTTTAGCGCCAATTTGGTTGCTGGTGTTGCTGTTGGTGGTGGCACTATAATTTGGAATTTGTTTTTGTACCAAGGGAATTGAATATTGTACATTGGACTCTATTTTGGACTGAAGTTGTTGCTGTTGTTGATGTTGTTGTTGTGATTGTGATTGTTGTGGCGTTTGTTCTTGTATCAAGTGAAAATAGTATTCAATTTGTTTGCGTAATTCATGTGTATAGAATTGAAATATATTTGGTGTTTGTGTTGTTGTTAATGTTATTGGGGATGGTGTTGTGGTTGTTGTTCTGGTTGTTGGTGTGTAATGTGAGCCACTGTTGCTGCGGCTGCTGACGCTGCTGCTGGTGTGCGTTTTGACCATAACACCGCCATTTTGTAGCCACTGCGATTGAGTGTTCAGTAATGCCAAATTATCATTGCTGCCAGTGTTGAACAGTCGTCGTAAATACTCGAAAGATTTTGATTTGTCTGTCGTTGTCAATTTTCTTGTTGTTCTCGTGGGTGTTGTTGTTGTTGGCGGGGTGTCAACGGCGTCGGCAGCAGCAGCAGCAGCCGCGACAGAGCTCTGCTGTATATTATTATCCTGCTCATTAGCATCCTGCTCCTCACTACTAGTACTACTGTTGCTCTCTGTTTGGTTATCATCATCATCTTCGATATCGCTTTGGCTCTCATCTTCTTGGGATTCGTTCTCCTCACTACTATTTTCAGTGTCCTTTGTCGATTCGCTGTTTGCATCGTTCTTATTCTGGCTGATTTTACTAATGTGTTGTGTTTGTTGTTGTTGTTTTTGGCATTTGTGGTGTTTGTGTTTATTATTGTTGTTGTTGTTTTTGTGGTTGTTGTTGTTTGTTGATATTTGTAAAGGTGTAAAAGGTTTGCATATTAAAATATGATATTTTTTGTGTGTTTTTCTTTGTACTCAAAAATTACATTGCTTCTTAGATTAGAACTCTAAACTTACACAACCAACTACGCAAATACAGTCGCTAAATGCAAAAGTTGTACTTACTTGTATACTAAACGGTAATTATTTCCATAGTCGGGGATTATGTTTGAGGGCAGTGGGGTGCAGCGACCATCCAGGCAGTGCTAAGGATTGTTTAAGAGGGTACAACATTTAAATGAGAACTGTTGAATAACTGACAACTTGCGATAGATTTATCAACGTTTCTTTGATTTTGGTGTAATAAATAAAACAGAAATAGAGCTGTCCATACTTACATAACCATTACCGCAGGCGGATCCCTCCGCTGCCGGTCTGTAGGCGACACAGTAGCCCGTCTGTGCATCGAAGCAGAAGAGCTGGGCACAGACGCGTTCGTCTTTGAAGCAGGCATAAGTGCCCCGATCTCGCCGGCACTGCGCATCCAGGGAGAGCAGAGTGCCCGGCAAGGATCTGCCCAAGGCGCTATCCTCATGTGGTGCATTGTGCAGGCAGGTCGCAGTGTCTCCACTTTAAATGAGGTTAGTCGAGGTTAGTTCAACTGTAACCAGGGGCTTTACTGATTGCTTGTGGACTCACTTGAGGAAATGATGGAAGCTCTGCACAGTACAAGCGGACCAACGAAAGCCGCGCTCCGTGTGACGCAAGTCGGACATTATGTAGCCATCCTCCCAGCGGCAGCGTTGAGCTCCAGGTCCACCCAGATAGCTGGGCGGTGGCGAGCCGTCGTGCACGGCTCCCAATCTTCAAGCAGACGTGAGGGGGGAGAGAGAGAGAGGAAAGGGTAGAGTTGAGAGTTGGACTTGATTGAGTTGCGTGAATATATCAATAAAATGTTAATTGATTAATTGCACAGCGAATGATGTCAAACGGAAATGCAAACAAGTTTTTTTTTTTTTGTTCAACTCCAGTTTTTGCTAAGCACCGGAAATTAATAGTATTTTTTTATATGTCTTTTGGACTTCGGCGTTAAATAGAGTGGAAGTGGTGTAGAAAAAAACATTCCAAGTAACGAAAAAGAAAAAATCCATCAGCAGTTCCGTTTGAGAGATGATAATGAGTTTGTATGCAGATCTCATACATATAGTTTATTTTTTATTTGGTTAATAATTGTGGGATTTTTAAGTTAAGTAATAGAAAAAAACATTTGAAAAATAGTAAAAAAGAAAGGTAACTACTTACAAGTGTCCCACTTCGTGGGCAGCCACGATGATGCCACTGAAGCCGCCGGTGTCTTCGATAATGGCAACGCTATTCACCTTCTCCAGACGCTTGTTAACCACGCAGGCGCCACCAACATAGGCAAAGCCTGTGGGCCAAGATACGTTTTGGCGAAAACAGAAATGAAAATTAGGCAATTAGCTTTGGTCAGCCAGCAGGAAGTTGACTAGTAGTAGTCAATTTTAACTAGTCAATTTTAACTAGTAGTAGTCGCTACTTGTCGACGCAGTTATTAAATACAAAAAATAAAAGCCGACGCTCGCCTTTTTTTTTTTGCAATTTGTTTTTACTTTCAAATTTCGATGTGGCCTAAACGACGTTTATCTTTTTATATAATAACTGCCTTTGTAATATGCATATGTGTGTTTGTCAATGCTCGAGGTGTGTGCGCCACTTCTGTGGTATGTATTGTATATGTATGAAGATGTGTGTCAATACAAATCACCAGTTAGTTCAGTTAAGTGTTAATACTTAAGTTAAATCTTAGTTACAATTGTAGTTTTAGTGCCAAAGCAAAACTAGCTGTAGAAACCATATTAAAGCTCATATTTGATTTCTTAAGAAATATATTTAATTAAGCCTTAAATAGTTATTGTATTTTAATAAAGATAATATAGAAAGGTTGTTCAGTACTTTCTGTAAAAATCTGAAAATTTATGATAAAATATATATATACACATTTATAAGGTCAATTTAAAGTCAGCAAATGATTTGTGCCTTGTGGACATGCATATAGCACAGTGGTCAGAAGAGGATTACAAATATATATCATTCAAGAACAGAAAGATAATCATCGTAAGCAAAAGATGAGCGAGAAATGCGCAGAAAACATATATAAATATATACAAATATATATATATATATATATATATAAACATCAAGAAATATAGTAAAATATCATTGTACAGTTTGAGCAGCTTTGCAGAGTAGAGTTTGTGAGGCACATGTGAACAGATTCCTGTTGCTCCTGATGGAGTTGTTGATCAATCCATTTTCTTTTGCTGTACAAAATGCGTGCGACACAAAACATATAAATTAAGTTCACGCCACAAAAAAAAAACACATTGAATAGAGTAAGTAGAGAATACAAAATGCAGAGACACAAACAGAGAGAGAGAGAGAGAGAGAGAGAGAAAAAAGGAGACAAAGAGACGTGCATGAAATTCAATTAAATTGGCTTGATTTTAGATGATGGAGCGACGCTTTAAGTTTGTTTCGGCGGTTGCCGCCTTTAATGTTATTTTTTTTTTTATTTTCGCATTTATCTGTACATTGTCAGCGAACAAATTGTAGTTGTAGTTGTTGTTGTTGTTAAGTGTTTTAGTTTTTTACCTGCGGTACCGCGATTACATTCACCAAATGCGGAGGTGCGACGGCACATATCAAGTCTGCGGGCGAAAATGGTTCAAAATGCGTAGATTTGAGTACGGATTCGATTTCTTACATATGTAGGACCAGTATGTACATAAATTAAATTGATAGTCTTTTTTTTTTTTTTTTTTGGGGCGTGCCCACAATAGAGAAGCAAAAACTTATAGTTGGAGCAGCACAGCAAAAAGTTTATGAGCCAATTCGATATTTGGTCGGGTCAGAAGAAGACAATAAAAAAGAGTTGCCTAATAAAAAAACTCGAGAGTACGCAAAAAAAAAAATGTAAATCATAAATAGGATAGGTGTAAAATAAAAAAATTAAAGACAGCAAAAATATAATGCTATTTTCATAAAAATATTAAGTTAAGACTAGTTATAAATTATGATTTTTGAACTAAAGAAGAATAATTAAAACTAGACTTTAACTACTACTACTATAAATACTTTTGACTACGTGTTAAGTTAATGTTAATTGTCTATCTTTCTTTAAAAATAAGGCGTTAAAATTATAACAATATCTAGACCAAAATATGTGTTTAAAACAACTACCAATGTCATAACACAGAAAAAAAATGGTTAACTTATGCATATAAAATCAGCTACCCAAATGCAGCAACCAAAAAGGCAAACGATATGTTTTTTGTAAAATACTCAACCGGTTTAAATGGCTTGTGAGCAACCCGCTCCTCAAATTAGATGAAGTAACGCCTCGAATTTAACTCGAATTTGTATCTTTTACTAAGATGTCGATGTGTGTGCGTATCTGTGTGTTTGTGTGTGTGTTTGTGTGTGTGTGTGTGTGTTTATGCAAATGTGTGTATTTTTAAGACCCACACGCAGTTTTTAGGTAACTTGGTTAAGTGTTTTTTCTAGTGCAAATTACGAGAATGTAGCAACAAACTAGTCGAAACTTTTGTAACTAACAGCTCTGAGATGTTAAAAACCAATATGACATTTGTACGCGTGTAATTGTGTGTGAGAGTGTGTGTTTGTTGGTTGGTTGGTTGGTAGGTTGGCATGTGTGTGGTCTTTGGTAATTCATAATAATTGTATTTAGAATTTGGTTGATTCTTTTACCCGCTGTGCCTTTGGTGCAACGGCCGCCTTTACGCCTGCGACACATATCATACCTGCGCATAAGTAGACGACATTATATATATGAATTTTAGATAGATGAAATATAGAGTATAGAGTATAAAGAGTAGAGTGTAGGAGTGACTAGGGAAGCCCTTTCAGTTGGTGGCTGCTAAACAAAACATTGCTGCTGCTGATCGAATCTGCAAGAATACACAAGAATACACCATAACAGGCTGTGCCCATTCACAGCCACTACTCACTTTGTGATCGCCACGGCAATATCGTAGACGGGCAGACGACGCTCCCGGAACAGATACTTGCCCATGTCCGTCAGTGCGGCAGCGGAATCAATGGCATCACGGCCAACACGATTACGTTCCAGATAGGGCGTGGCATCGCGACCCTGCAAGAAAGGAAAGACCAATCAACATTTGTGAGAAAGATTAAAACTAGTTATGAATATATCCATTATTATTATTAAATAGTTTTTAGTTAATGTTTGGAAAATGATCAGAAATCAAAGTAATTAATTTGGCTTACTTCTCACATTCCACTTTTCATACCACTCCGTTAAATACCACACCTCGTCTTACCTCATATCAACCATTAGCCGTTAATCTGCCAACTTTAGCATTTGAAATTGGCAAACAGATAAGCAAATAACAAATAAATGTTTAGGGTTCCCTGGAGGTCTTTAGCCTTTAATGAAAACTATCGCCCATTAGGCGAGACGTATTTGAGCTTCTTATGCAATATGGCTTAGTATTTGACATCAGACAAACAAACAAATGGCAAATCACCAAATTTATGGCCCACAGAAAGGCTAAAACTGTCCAACACTTTTGGCGTAGGCAGCAGCACAGTTGCAGTGATGGGCGAGGGTGTTGAGAGGGGGTGCCTCATTTAAATGGAGTATGGCGGAATTCGTAAGCGAAACGGAAACAAGTGAACGTGAAAAACGTGCCTCATGCCGGCTGCATGAGACAGATCCGATAAAAAGAGGCGACGATGCCACAAATGAAAATGAAAATGAAAATGGGAAATGGTGTCGCGTGTTGCAAGTGCGGACGGTGCAAAGTCAAAGTCGTGTGCAAACTCTCTTACAAAAACTAGTTGCAATTGTGCGTTATATAATTTGTGGCTGCAACAGCTGCTTCTCCCCCAGGCAACTTTCAGCTGTTTTGTGCTGCTCATGCAACAACAACAACAATTATCGTGACTAAGGGGCGGTATTTCTTGGTGTGTGTGTTTGTGTTTTTGTTTGAATTGACAGCTACATAAATTATTATAACACAATTGTCAATCATGTCAGGCCCTAGGCTAATCAATATGTTAATACCTTGCCATAATCTAAGTACACATATAAACAGTAGAACCTGTTCGACAGGCCCCAAAGTGCAGGTGATAAAAGCAAGCTAAGTGTCAAAGATATGGATATGGATTTCTAGCAGCCAGCGAGTTTGATTTGCAATTGAAGCAACAAATGTATCTATAAGATACTCAGCTATAATGTGACTGCGCTTCGGTCGTCGAGTGTCGCGCCAAAGCTATTTGATATATGCCACCACTCACTCACAAAGGGGATAGAATATATAGATCTTAAGATTGTTTATAATACCTGCATTATCGACGTTTATGAACCTGCAGTCAAAATAAGACAGATTTATACACATATGAATTGTGTTTATAGCTATTTCAGGAATGAGGAAACCAAGCAAATTTAAATTTTTGGTCCACGGTGCAATGACAATTTTGCGTAATTGTTGTCAGTGAATATCAATCACAGTTCACACATTTAAATTCCGCCAAGTGGCACTCAATGGTATTTTTTGTTGTTATTATTTTTTTTTTGGTTTTTTCTTGTTCTACTTGGGCTTCGGCTTCGTCTTCGATGTAGAGTAATTCGCACTTTGTGCCGACTCGTGGCACACACTAAATAAATTGACAATTCGACATATTGATCAATTGTTAGTGCGCGCACGTCTCCCAACTCAAACTCGAAAATATTTGGTAATTTTTCGACTAAAAAACGATCAAGAATTTTAAATGTTCCGGCGGCGACCTTGGCGCACAGCATTTGGGAAAGGCGATGTGCGTCAAATGTTGCCGCTGGGAAGTATATCGTTTGATAAATCAGATCAGATAATTTATAATATTGCAGCTGATACAGACGCTGATTAAGGTTGGTTATTCCAAATTGAAGTGGCTGCTGCATCATTGAAGGCCTCTCGACTGTGAGGATCACTTCAGTTTGCATTTACGAGGGCAGCTAATGCATTGCATCCAATAACCAACAATTTTGTTTGAGTTTGACTGAGTTCAACGCTTCAGACATGGCTTATAAAGTTTGGGCTTACATTGCTGTCGAATGCAAGCAGTTTCAGTTTCGGTTTGAGTTTTAATGCCATACAAGAACTTTAGGAATGTGTATCATGTAATTTAAAGTTGGCTAGTTATGTATGTGATGAAGAAGAATTATGCACCTCAACATTTTTTTTACTAAACTATCTTTCACAAACAAACTAAGCACTTGATATTACACATACATCAATCAATAACAAAAAACCATATACTTTCGCAGAACAGCTGGTCTGTTAACAAATCAAAGCGTGACACATTTATTTTTGCCGCTGTGTAGCACATTTGTTTTACTTAAATCAAACTTGTCAAAAGTTCATGGGAACATGGGAAAACGTAACTTGAGGAAAAGTCACGTCTGCGCCTGCGGACCACCAACGGAGAGTTGCAGACAAAAGCTACTGGTCACTTGAGCGTTTGAAGAGCCCTGAATGTGACTTGAGTTGGCAGTTACACAATGCAAATGTAGTCGGTAGCATTTTGCATCTGCAAGATACTTCAAATAGCCGGCACGAATATTGCACTCCATTAGGCGAGAGTAATTTGTCAAGTAATCTAATTTGTGTGTGCCAGTTTCCATTAGAAATATTACACATACGAGCCGTGGCAAATGATTTTCATTTTATTTATTTCTATTTGTATTTTTTGTTTTTAGTTTTTGGGTGCCTCCACATTAATAGCTCTTTGCATGTGTACCAGATACGAGCAGTACCTAAAATGTAGCCAGGCTGGCAACTGGGAGACCGGTTTGCCTTTCCCAAAAATGGATGTAGTTTTGTTTTTATATATTTTTATTTGTATTTTTGTTTTATTTTATTTTATTTTTATTTGTATTTTTTTTTTTTTGGCTGTCTCAGAAAATGTTGCAATGGCTTTTGTGCGTAATTAAATGTAAAGTCTCTTGCGTCGCATGGACTTAATATATTAATTTAATTTACAGGGCGCATAAATCGTGGCAACTGTCAAACTGCGGCCGCCACAGTTGCTTAAATTTCTATCATTACGAAATGCGCACCAAAACTATGCAACTGGCGGCATTTCAACGAAAAACCCACCCACCCAAGACTCAGACTCTCCAGTCTCAAACCCAGAGGCAGCTCCAATTCCAATTCCAGCTACAGCTTCAGCTTCAGCTTCAGCTTTAGCTTCAACTCAAACAAAAACTCCAATTCCTACTTCCCACTGCAGTGACATATGTTTTGACTTTTGTATAGCCGCTCGAGCGACTGCGCCCACACAGTCTGTCGGTTTTGTTTTGTGTGTGTTTTTGGGGAATGGATGTGAAAGACAGGCGGTGGCTATACTTTTGTAGGAAAACTTTGATATCATTTTCGAATTTTTTTTTCAAATAATTTTTAATTAAAGATATATTTTTGATTGCTTAGTGACCTGCTTTTATAATTTAAATATGTTTTTTTGCTAGTTCGAGCTGTAGTTTTTTTATTTTTTGTATTCTACGATATATTTGAATTCCGTTAGGGAATAATTCATATGAATTAAACTTTTTTTTTAAATTCCTGGTCATGTATTTGTCGCAGTGCACTTGTGGACACCACCCACGGAGCATGTTGGTTTTAGATTATTTGTTGTGTGGCATTTTAGCCTTTAGGTCAAGCCTTCGGGGATATATACTTTTCCTTTTGTCGTTTGCCTTATTGCAATTTATGTATTTCAGGCAATGGCGATAAGCTTTGTGGCTTTCCCGTTGCGACTCTCGTGACATATATATATATATATACTAATATATATAAATAGACCTGGGACCAACACCTGGTCGAGGTCTGGCAGCTACTTGAATTCGAAACTTCGTTAGCCAGGAATTTGTTATGACATTTGCAAATATGAGGCTCAAAATGTAATTCTTTGATGCATGTACGTATGTTTGTGCATGTGTGTTTGTCTTATTTTGGGGTCTAGATCTGATCAGGGTGTGGCAAATGTGCATTACTTAGCATTTCCGTGGCAATTGATAAATCCATGCCGATAACGTTGAGTGGAGATTGTTGATTGGCAGCAACAAAAAATGGTCTCGATATAAGTCAGTCATGCACTCACAATAAATAATAAATTCTAAAATTAAGCACTAATCAAATATTGGACTTTCTTTTAGTTTGCTTTATTGCCACAGTTTGTTGAAGGCCTTTTTCAAAAGCCACACAACTTGACCCCAATGCACAAAGGAGTTGTAGACTTACTGTCTGAATAGCCATTTGTTTTTTGTTCTACTGTATTCTATTGAGTAACTATTCACATAAATTAATCAGTTGCTGACAAATAACCAGCAGAATTACTTAACGCAGGCGTAGTGCAAAATGTTTATGTTGCTTAAGTTTGCGCAATTAATCGTTTCATGCGCTCAAAGTTAAATGACAACAAAACGTTCAAAGAACAGCAGAAAAAAAAAAACTGAAAATAATAATAAATATTGAAAAACTGCACGACTAGTAAAGCGCGTAACTGCAAGGCTGTTGAAATAAATCTAAAGGTGTTTGGTGTGCTCCAAGACTGCAAATTAGACCCCACCCTCCTCTGCTCAGAGAGAGAGAGAGAGAGAGAGAGAGAGAGAGAGAGAGAGAGAGAGAGAGAGAGAGAGAGAGAGAGAGAGAAAGATAGCGAGAGAGTAAGAGACGGAGACAACCAACAATAAGTTGGCGCTAAAATAGTCGCTTTGGCGACTATTTCAACCTAGTTTCAAGTTGCCAACTTAATAATGCATCAAACTTCAATTTATGGCTAAACTGAAATTCTAATCGAGTGTCGGCCAGTTAGTACACACAACTCTCCAATTACAATTTGCTAGCATATTAAATACACACACACGCACACTCACACACACATACATACACATTAATATGCGCTAGCGACACGCACATAATAAATTGCGTATACGCAACGTTGCCGTTGAAAAATGTTTGTGGCGCAAGCGCAACGTTCGACACTTGTACAGCTGTCGGCTGTTGGCTGTCGTAAAGCGATATGCAGCCCCATGTGGAGTGGAGTGATCAAGGGGGAACGAGGAGTGGGGGGGATGGCTGGTCTGGGCGTTCGGGTGTAACTCAATTCTAACGGAAAGTTGCCCGCAATTAATTAAAATGTTAATTAAATGTCACAGATAAAAGTTCAACGGTAGCAGCCCCTGTGAACAACGTCAGCTGCCCACGCGCCTTCATTTAATTATCTCTGTCGCATTTGAGTTTGTGACTTGTTGGTGTTGGCTTTACAAATCTGAAGCGATGACTTGTTTTGATTGCCCACAGCCGATATGAGAGAAATGCAACTGGCTGACAAGTTGATTAATCATTCTATAAAAATGATTATCAGCACAGGATTAGTAGAGCAGAAAAATTACTTCCAACTCAGAAAGTTAAAATCATCGAATGATGATTTGCATATTAAACATTTATCGCCTGTTATACTTAATATGTCAAACAAATTATTATGACTTGCCATAATAGCTGCCCCTCCGCATCCCACCCAATGTTAAATGCGTGACTTTGTTTTCAGTTGCATTAAGCTATGGCATATTGGCAAACAGACTTCATCGGTTTATCGGATATGCAATATCGCATAAATTTGTAGCCCCTTTTTACAAATTCTGAGTAATTACTACTTGGCCACGATTTCGAGTTCGACTGCGACTTCGACGTGCAATTCGAATCGAAGTCGAGCAAGTTACAATTTTGGTGTCATAAATTCACATTTGGATTTGTAGTTTATGGCCAGCGAAATAAATTTCAACATTAATTAGCGAGCGAAAAAAACCAAAATGTGGTCGACATTTAGCGACGGATGTAGCCGGTGTATCTACAGATACTGCAAGACGCAGATTCAGATACATATATACCCATACATATACTTCTGTGAGCCGACATAGAAGAGGAAGTTGCTGCATGAAATTGGGCAAAGATCTGAGCCGCAATCTGAGCTGCTGACGACGCGGCCCATTAAATTATATAACTTCAAACCAACGCAGCCGCAGCTACAATAACAACAACAACAACAACAACAGTTTGCTGCTGCATTATTTATGCAATTTAAAATATATTTTTTGTGTGTGTATGTTTCGCGTGAGGCACAAACCAATTGACGTACTTAGGGTAAACTGTCGACTTTATCGTGTGGGCATCATGCAACTTCAGCTGCAACTCGCTTGGCTGTGCTTTGTTGCAGGTGCAAGCCGCAAAATAAAAAAACTGCGCCAATTTACCACTTTCCACACACATGTGTGTGCCACGGTGTCTGCCTATCTGTGTGTGTATATCAATGGGTCGACAGTTTGAGTCAGACTCTTCTCTTACTCTCGCGTGTTGCTGTGGCTACAAAAAATGGCTTCCTGAACTGACGACGCTGACTTGTGTGAGAAAGTCAAGCGGGCTATGTAATAATGTTGTCAAAGTGTTTTATGGTCCCGTTACGCAATAAATGCATTCACGGCAGCAGTGCAGCTCAAGAAGCTGCTTGACAGTCTGAAGGATCTATGGATATACTAACGTACTCAAAAAACCAATTCCCTAAATTATTAAATTAATTAATTAAATTAATAATTAATCATTAAATTATTATTAAACCCTCTCTCGAATTTACCTAATTTGTTTTTAATATTCATTGCTGCACATAATTTATTCCAAACTTTAGACCACAATCTTATATATATATTTTGCTTTTGAGTGTATATGACGACAAGACTTCTTTTGCGTCAGCTCAACACTAACCAACACTTGGATTTGGCTCGTTAAAAGTGTTTTGTTCTTCGGAGCACTAAAATCAGAGACATTTCTATTTGGATTTAACAGCTCGGCAAGTTCGTTGCTTGAGTCTTTTGTTCGCGTGCGCCAAATTTGCTAATTCCTTAGACATTTAGCAACGTTGATTTTTTGCTTGCACGAGTATTTGGCTTCTACCGAAAAAAAACTTGTTAAAATTTGTAGCTTGGCTTTGTTTATGGCCCAAGCAAATAGCCAAATTGATTGTTCACATTTTTTCTAGCGTTACGAATTCGAAGCGCATGCGTTGCATGTTTGATGTGGTTGTTGTAGGTTTTTTTCTTTGCTATCTCTCCCCCTCTATCTCTCTCTCTCCCTCACTCTCTGTCTGTCTCTCTATGTTGCTCTCTTTTATTGTTGAACGATTGGTAAGTAAATCGTGATAAATTTGTTTTTGCTTGCCTGCGGCCGGCATCTGTTCCAATTTGCCAAATGCCCCCCTTTGGCTGGGGGTCAAAGTTGAGCGCTCAAATGAATTACTCAATTAGTCAAGTAAAAGCTAAGCTGCCGCTTATAGCTAAGAATTGTGTAAGGATTTGATATGTACTCACCCGAGAGATTATAATGCCAGCAATGCTAATGCGTATTCTGGGTCCCTTGAGCAGGCGGTAACGTAAATCGACACCGTTCCAAAACGAGATAAAGTAGCGTTTGACCTGTAAAGAAGCAAAGTTATTTTTGAGCGTATTTCATGTCTATTTGTGCACGTCCACAATTTAATCATTTGATCTGATTTAGTCGGTGTCTAGGTCTAGGCACATTCATCAGCTGCAGCTGTCGCATTTTTCAACTTTCATCCAAGCCGCTTAAGACTTAAGACATGCAGATCGCACCCAGATCAGGCAGCGTCATAAATCTTCAGCTGTGAGTGATGTGCATACTGAGAAGGTGTGTCGGAACTGTCTAAGAACTGTAGTTAAATAAACAACAGAGTTGACTGCGACCAAAGAGTTAATGCAGACAATTTGTCATAAGAATTAAAATGATAAATTTGAGAGCAAGTATAACAAAAGAATTTTTTAACTCGAGTCGCTAAGCTAATGAGACAAGCATTTAACGTTTAGAAATATATGAGTCTCTTTTAAAAATTGATCTTAAATTCTTCTACAGTCAAATTCACATCATTTCCTAGGGGTGCTCCCAGTTATTCGAGCTAAATTCCATTTCTTGTTCTTGTACAGATTGTTTTTTGTATGTCACGTTCCGTTCTATCAGATTTGATTGTCAAAAACAACTTTTACGCAATCTCCAGTATTTGGCTGGGAGTGTATGCGGTTTTTGGCAATCCCAACTGTCTGGATAAATATTGCGTGACAGCTTCATTTAGATTTTGGAGTACACACCTGCAAGTTGTCGCCGCCATGGAGACGATAGCCATCGTAGTCGACAATTACCAAGACCTCGGGATAGATGACGTATGGAGTTTGGCGTCTGGGTCGGATGCGGGACTCGGAGGTTTGTGGTTCCGCTTCGGTACCGTCCAGGGCGCCCTCATCCTCATCGTTGAGATCTTCAAAGTCGGGGCTAGTGCCGCTGCTGCGCCGACGTCGACGCTGCTGACGACGCTGTAGACGTTCAAGTTTCTCGCTGGCGAGCAGATCGTCCGGCTCCATGAAGGCTGCAAAGAGGGGAGAGGGAAGGCGAAGAGGCTAATGAATCACATCGAACATGAAATGCAATCGTTTCATTATGGCCCAGCCAAGTCAGGTAGCTGCACATTTAACTGTATTTTATATAATTTTTGGCTCATTAACTGGCAGCCCCAAAAAGCATTGTTGCGAAATGGTTTTCCTCGTAATACCATCCATAAAATAAGCGTTTTTATAGTGCATCGCAAATTAAAGCTGTGGTATTTTGGCGCCACCGCAAAGGTAAATGCATCCGGCGAAGGACAAACAATCACGTCAACGACGACATCGAGAGTTCAAGCTGCAAATTGAACTCATGGCTCAAGTGCCGCAAACGCGAACAGGAAATGCTAATCATGTACACGTCGATCTCTCGAAGACACTCGGAGCAACAGTTGTTTGCTAGAGCTTAGATATGGTTTCTAGTTCAATGTGCCCATTTAATAACTTGCGCAGATGAAGCTGCCGATTCGAGCGGCACAAACGAAGAATGCCGCAGTGCGGAGGATCAATGTCAGGCCAAGGCAAAGAATAATAAATTTGATGCTTATGCAATACGAGCAACATTGGGGGCCATATATCAAGATGTAAACGTTTTGGGACGGCATTTTATGGAATACCTACCAAAATCACTCAATTGATCATCTGTGGCGGCTGCTTCACGTTTGTAGACAATATGCTGGGCCTGCTCCTTGTTGGGACTGAGCTCATGTGGCAATGGCTTAATGACCATATCGTGACCAATGCTGCCCTCCTGTAAGAAAGAGTTGAAATGGTTTAAAATAAAATGGGGAAAATTGAAATATTTCATGTTAAGGCAATCAATCAATTGTGTGTGGGAAATTTTGAGAAAGTAAACAGTAAAAAATTTCATTGTGTTGATAAATATATTTCCATTGAAAGTGTCTTTATTTATGAATAAGAAGTTGTAATATTTCGTTCTTTTCGCACAGATCCTATTACTGCAAATGTACAAATCTCAAACATCTTGTCAATGTTCTACTCTTTTTTCTTCTGTCATAACTATAAAATGTATATATTACACTGTCTTATAGGCGACACGAGCGCACAAGTACGCAATTTTCATAATTTAGTACATTTGTTTAATATACATCTATTGAAAATATATATCAACATCAAATGAATGAGTTGGCAAACCTGGCGGCGAAGTGGTCATAAAAATTAGCTTCAATTTGCATAGCTGAATAATTTATGCAAATCATTTCGATCTAGATAAGAATGTTTCTTGGGCGTTTAGTAGTTTTATTACTTTTAGCTGTTGTTGTTGTTGTTGGTCTGTAATTGCAATAATTAGCTAAAAAATAATAAAATAAAATGCATAAGAACTCGACCTTGATAAAGGTTAGCCAATTGAAAGCAATCTGTTTAGCAATAGTTTTATTTGTGCCAATTGAAACTTTTAATTCATCAAACTAAACGTTGAGCAAATGCCGGTGGCAAGAAGTGTGGGCACCCACTCGACAACATTGGTGAGTTGGGCTAATTAAATCTTGCCACGCTCAGCCATTGCAATGCTAGGCTATAATTAAAATATTAAATATAAATTACAGCAGTCACTTTAACAACTGTATGTTGTTAATGTGCCTAAAACACGAACTCTCTGCTCACAGCGGGCTAAGACGAAAATGTGACTGGAATTTAAGTTGTGGCTCTTTGTTGAGTCAGGCATAATGGTTAAACTTAATATATCTATATATTTATATATATACATTTAAGAGATTGATGCATTAACTAAAAGTCGAATGGAAATATGCATCTGTGCTAAAGAACCTGACTGTGCGGCGCTCAGTAAATGCCAAAAGGAAACGACAAAGTTCAATGTCCTACAATAAAACGTCTGCCAAATGCCAACAACGTTAACAACAAAACCATTTTTGTGCCATAAACAAATTGCAAGCAACGCAGCAATGGCTGCAAATTGCCATTGATGACATGGCAGCTGACAACAACAACAACTTTGACTACGACATGGAGCTAACTTCAATGGCGTCTCTATTGAATTGCAAAATTTGCAAAGTGCGTTTCGCCTAATCGATTCCAATTGCATATTTGCCTCAACCGCACCTGGGCATATAAAAACATAAGAGATGCTTGCAATTGCGACACTTACATGCATTTTTTTTTATCAGATAACGTTGCGTATGATAAATGTACAAGATACATTTTTCGAGTTCGACATTCAACTTGAAAGCTGACATCGATTGCAGTCAGGTGAATGTGTAGGGCGAGAGAAAAATATAATATTATAATTGAAAATGTTCACAAAATTCATGCATTTATTATCGCATACTTGAAGTGCTCATTTATTTATAAAGTATAGTCTCTTAAAAGAGTATTTATTTATTACTTTTGTGCTAAGTATTTAAATAATTGAAATTAGATATTTGAACTTTATTGATATGCAAAAAAATACATAATTCACAATAGAGGTATTATGTGAAATTCTAAATTAATTATGAATTATTAGGCTTATATATCAAAGCATTATTGCATCAATAAATTACTTATTCATTCTAAGTAATATAAATACTGTCAATTATTTATTCATGAACTGAACCTGCCTGCTGTGCATGGAATATAGGTATATTCTTAGTATTAGCGCAGCTTGAATGTATATTATATATATATATTGTTTTTTTTTTTGTTTTGTTTTGTGGAGTGTGTAATTGACAACTGTCAAATGGGCGGAACGTATTTCGATTAAATTTTTATGTTTTAAGGAGACAAACAACTCGTACATATGCATGTGTTCCGCCTTTTCAGCAGCACCAACAACAACCAAAACTACAACAACACATGCAACACATGCAGCAATTGCAAGAAAAGCTAACTATTCGGCTGGCTAGAAAACCAGACAAGGCGTTTTGGGCGTGTGCCTTGGTTTTTTATTTTTGTACATTTATTTATTTTTGTTTTTGTTTCTTTGCTAAATTTATTTCGCTCTCATTTATTTATTTATTTGGGGGATTGTTGGAGTGCGGAGTTCTTTGGGCAGTCGACGAAACGAGTGTTATGTAATTTTTAAAGCGCAACAAGTTGTAATCTGGAAAAGTGTCTTGCTAGTCTGTCTATGCGAGAGTGCAATTAATAAATCACAAAGCGATTTATTTGTACACGTTTGCTTGAAATTTCAATTGTTTACTAAGTAATTCCCATAGTAACTAATTAATTCAAAAGTATTTGACACTAGCGTTGCCTAATTATGTTTTTTTTTTTGGGGTAAATATTAATCTTTATATAGGAAAACAGCAAATTGCTTTCAAACCAACACTGCTGGCCAGTAAATGAAGTTGTCTTAGTTGTCTAGTTTATGTAATCACCCACAACATGATTGTTGTATCTGGTTGCTTGTTGCCAGTGTTGTTGCTGGCTGTTGGCTGGAGACAGGCGCCGTTATTTATTGCATGGCCCGTACGCAATCCCCCAACAAGGCTCAGATCGTATTAAGCCTTTCACACACACACAAAAAGTCAGTCAGGCAGTCCGACTGTCAGTCTGTCCGTCGTTCAGTTGGACAAGACACCAAAGTGGCACCTGCTGTTAACTCTTTACATTGAGGCCACAGCCACGCCTCACTGATAGCAATCAATTGTCAATGCTATGATGGATTTGTGATGCGATGATAATGATATTTGGCATTCGCCATTCGGCATTGTCTTCTCCCATTTGACGCCTGATTGCTTTTTAATTTCGCATAACGAGCGCACATCAACAACAGGCATTATTCATTATGATTTTCGGGACCATTGTTTTGCAGGCTTGTTCATTGCATCATCGTTGAGACAATCTGCCAATCTGCCCCCGCCACAAAAGTTCACTGAACCAAAACATAGACACACACAGACACCATCGAAATTCACTTACAATCAAAATTAACACCTCCTGATGTTTGTTTTTAGTTTTTGCTTATATTTCCCCTGACAATAGCCGAAAAGCAAATATCGAAAACTGGCAGCAACCACACAAAAACAACACAACGAAAATCATTTTGTGGTTTGTAATTTTGGAAATTAGCATAATTTGTGCAAATTCATGACACGAGCATTTGACGCCAGCGGACGCAACAATCATGCTTGTGAATATTGTTTCTGCTGCTGATGTTTGTGGTTGATGTTTGCAAAAGTTACTGCTGCCAAAATTGATGATGTGGACTGCAGTGAAAATGTGCGAAAAATATAAGAAGTAAGAAATCACTGTACAGAACTTTGCATTAGCTGGAATTCGACTAGAAAACAGTCAAAACAATTTATCTTAGCAAAAGTTCATCATTCGTATAATTGTTATAAACATGTGTTTAGAATTTCAAAAATTGTGATACGTCATTTGATTTAAATGACTTATTTATGCAAATTTGATGAGTTTTAGTTTGGGCATTGGTAATTATCACGTCATAAAGACCGTACTTAATATTTTGGGTCGGAAGTGCTGCCACCTGTAATTATACCACTTTTACATACCGATTTTTTTAATGTTTCTTTTTTCTTGTTGGTTACAAGTTATAGTGTTAACTCCTAAGGTGTGTGTTGGCTTGTTGTTTTTTGTGTTTTTTTTCGTTATCATCTTGGTCAAGGTTAAATCTAATCGGCGCCTAAGATCACTGCTCAATGCGACTGCATGTAGTCATAAACTAAAGCAGCAGCAATAATAACAATAAGAACAACAACAAGACTAAGAACAAGAACATATATATGTATGTCGACATGGTTGGCACAGCCCCAGAGCAGTGTTAACAGTTTGTTTACATAAAGCAGCTCGTTAAAAAAAAATTATTAAAAAAAAAAAAGAACATCAAAGAATAAGTGAAACCACCTTCGGGCAGCGATAATGTATCTGTGTGTACAAGTGTAACTGTATCTGTGAGCGATCAATGAATATTTATAAAAACAGCAGCAGCAGCAGCAGCAGGCACCGCCCATGGTCAGCAACAAGAACATGGCCCACACCGCCGCTTTGACATTCTAAGCCAAAATGCAATCAAAAGCAATCAAAATTAATTTGCTCACTCGTTCATTTGCCCAAATGTATCTGCTAGATGCTCAACTCATTCTGCACGCTTTTTGGCATAATTTGTTATACACAAACGCACATGTATATATGTGTGTGTGTGTGGATGTGGCTACTATGCGTTGGCTGCTGTTGTTGGTAACAAGTTCAATGCGAACGGGGCAAGTCAAAGTGCGCTTTAGAGTTGCCGCTCCAATAACTTCGCATGACAGTGCTACCGAAGCGGTACAGAGGCAGTTGGATGTAGGGAGATGGGGGAGGGGAGGGGAGGGGTGTCTGTTTTCTGTGGGCCAGACAGACGCTTGATGAAGTTGCATGTCAATGTCAGATGTAGTCAAAATCAACACAAGTCAAGTTGGTTGCTGCTGTTGCTGCTGCTGCAGTTATCCTTGCACTTACTTTGCCAAAGTGAAGGTCTCTCAAGGCTGTCGCCTATGCCAATTCTCACATGAAAAATTTGACTAAGATAATTTGAAAACATTAAATATAGTTTATGCAGTTGGGCAACTGAGAGACACTTACAAAAATGTAGCTGGCCCTTTTTTGAGAAAGACTATTAAAGTGTTGTTTTTTTTTCTAATTGTAGCAAAAGTTAATTAATGAAAATTAGGCAAACAAACTATGCAATTCAAATATGACAGTTAATCGCATTTGACTTTTAATTTATTTAAGCCCCAAAATGACTTTCCCTCCGATGAGGCGTGAAAACTGCCGCTTAATCGTCTTATG